AAAAAAAAAAAAAAAAAAAAAAAAAAAAAAAAAAAAAAAAAAAAAAAAAAAAAAAAAAGAAGAAGCGCATCGTGCTTATCGAAGACTTAATTCAGGGTGTTATACTTTATATATTTTCTACGATCTATACGAGTATGCATCATCACTTCTTTATAATTATTCCATGAATAAATGTAACATTACAAAAATCCAATCAACATGAGATACTATTTTAGTTTGCTACTACTATTCCAAATTTTATCATCAATATTATTATTATTATTATTATTATCAATACTATTATCATTATTTTCACGTAAGAGGAACTAAACAGCAACAACAATGTAAGATAAATCATTAAGTACTATAATTGTTTTACTGGATAATAATAAAATTTCACTTATTACCGTAGCGAGTGAGCAATACCTATTTTTGAATTTACTCACGTCATTGCAGACATATACTTGCATTACAATATTATTTGTAGGCGTAATGTCGATGTATTAATTATACTCGTGAGAACGAAAAAAAAAAAATATTAATTAAAAGTCAACACGAACAAGTGGTAACATATGCACGACATGGTTTTTGATGTAGTTTATATATTGCATTTATACGTATATGGAAAAAACAAAAAAAAAAAGAATCAAATTATATATAAATATATATAAATAACGTTAAACGTATAGTCTACATTTAGAATTGTTACATTTCTAGAAAAAGAAAGAAAAAAATTTACCGATGACTATATACCGATCGACACATTAACGATCACATAATCCTATATAGTTTTCACTTTTTCAAGCGCAAACTCTTTTATCTTCTTAGAATTGGAAAAAAAGACAAAAACCTACTTCAGTAAAAATCAGTAAAAAGATGAAAAAAAAAAAAAGGATCACTACAACGGCAGCTATGTGCACTGCATTTATTCGATCGTGTGTCGCGCATAAGCACCTTGCATCAGCAGCATCTGTAGTAATAAAAAATAAAAAAAATAAAATAAAGGAAGAGCAATAAAAAGAAAAAAGAAAGACGGAAGATCCGCATGATTCAACTGTACACCTTGACCTTTGAATTCGAAATTCGCTTCGCAACATCGGACAGCGCTAATTCACCTGATAGTCGCTCAACCCGATACAATAGTGCCTTCCGATAATTATGCAAGCCACCGACTAAACATGACATTACGTAGCAAGGAAGCTCGCCGACACTTATCGATTGTCCCCCCCCCCCTCCCTCTGTCCAGATTCATTACGCTCCTATTACACGTTCTTTTTTTTTTCTTTTGCATGCGTGTACATACATACATGTACATGTATATCACAAACACAATGCGTGTGTCTGCGTGTATCTCTGGTTACAAAGCGACAAACAGATTGGATTCTACCTAGGTGTATATATATATATGCATACACATTTATGTAACAAACACGATTAACATATTATTATCATTATTGCCACTGCTATTGTGGTGATGCCAAAATTTACAAGTACCTAATTCTCTTGTAGAAACATAAACTTTGTGATTAAAGGACATAAATGTAGTGGCAGCGAAATTATGTTGTTATTATCATACGTATGTGTGCACAAGTTTCATGTTTTTTTTTTTTTTTTTTTAAGAAATTAGGATGGAAGTTTTTGGTAAAAAATCAACGCTCGTTGTATTTTTGCATAAACATTTAACGTATTTATTTCACCGATTGGCTTATATAAACATGTACACGTGCATATACATATTATTTTTTGTCTTAGTAAGAGATGATGATGATGATCAATGTTAGACAAATAAATATAATTGCAAGTATACCACTATGGCGAATTTATTATTGTACTTATGGCCCTGCGGACTTTGTAATATTTTTCATTTTCAAGGGAAAAAAAATGCGGCTCGTGCCAGAGCTCGTTTAAATTTCAAAAGAGACAAGGCGAATGCTTTACATTTTAGTGTCAGAGGATGAAGGTGAGTTTAGAAAAAAAAAAAAAAAAAAAAAAAAAAAAAAAAAAAAAGTTAAAATTCAAACTAGCCGAGAGTTATACAACCTGCAGGCCTCTTCAGGTGTGTTTATTGCACGTACGTGAGACACATAAAATTATGCGAATCCGAAATATTCTGGCAGGTGTCCTCAAAAATAAAAGGAGCAGGTCTACTGTCGCAAAAACAAAACGATGGGAACGTCCATTTTCTGCATCGCGTTTACAAATGAAATGCATAACAAAAAAAAAAAAAAAAAAAAAAAAAAAGAATACCGCGAATCAGAAAATACAGAAACCCATTACCGTATCGATGGACTTATGGGCCACGGATGCCTTTTCAATTATTTTAAAGGGTCATTTTTTGCTTAAAAGAAATTATTTTCCATCAAAATTAAACAACAATTACAATTTGAAAGAAAAAAAATATTTTCGAAGTATTTAAAAAAGTATTCAAATGTTTTATTTCAAAGACTTAACAATAATTTTAAGTATCTAAAATGTATTGCACTTATCTGTCAGAAAAAAAAATTTTTTTTAGCTAAAACAATATAGATGATTCAAGAAACGTACTTATGTTCGTTCATTCGTAGTGTCGTGGTTTCGTGCACATTGGAGAGAAGAAAATTAGCTCGCAAGACAGCACTGGGCTTTGATATTCCACGTGCACTCGTTTACCTATTTATTAGTTAAGTCAATTGTGTATGTCGTCATACAAGGGGTAGTCGAAGAAGAAATAGGGGATACGCGTGATAATCGACCATTTCCGTTTGTTACCACCACAAGTTACGCATTGGTACCTCGAATGTACCTACCATACATACGCCAACTCTACGATTTTTGATGAACCAAGAGTGGTAAAGTGGTTCAATTTATATTTTTTTATTTTTCAAACAAACTCATGATGACACTTACACAGGGGTCTTCGTTAAACAGCTGAAATAATAATTGAGGACATAATTTTCTGCTTTTGCCATTACTAGGGTGATTTTATTGTCACCACTGCTTACTCTAAAATACGTCACGAGGTACCTAACGAGCATAGCACTCAAAGTTTATTCAATACATTCCGATGTGTTGTACGTTATACCAGGAATCGAGGGTTGTTCAAACGACAGTTAGTGCGATCGGGTTTCGAATTAAAAATAATCAAGTGGACTGGGGTTTGAATTCTTACTTCGAGTTTAAATTGGTGTGCAAATTTTTATCTGGATTTTTCTTTGGGTTTAATTAATGCAAGTCTAATATATTTCTGCAACCCCAGGGGGGAGGGTAGATTTCTGGCATTTCTAATGTACCGATAAGGGGTATGAAAGTGCTTGTAAAAATTAATTCAACAAAATAGGCCCAAGTAATAAAAAAATAAAAAATTTCGTCAAATATGATGTTTGTATGATACAAGTTTAAAACAACATAACAAATCAGCTATCATGTAGGATACTTAACGCCATCTACCGGGAAACAAGTTTAGTTTTTGGGGATTGTCGCCAAGTACGAACAGCAGATGTTATCTACTCAAGTGCGTTCAGACTAAATTTGTTTTACCGATCTGTCGCATACACTTTTTCATAATAATAATGTTCATTATTTCTTAAGACAAAATATACCTGATTTTAATTGCGTGATTTGTAAATATGTGGTAATGAGAATTGTAATTATTACTACATAATATGGCAATACAATATAGCATACCTACATCAGCTTCATTGTGCTTACTGAGTAGAAATGTTTTTCGTATTATAGTGTAAATTCGTGTGTAAATTTCAAAAATCGTTTAACGATTGCAAGAATGGCGAACGACTCATTGAATAATCGTCAAGACACAGTTATGTTTGGATCAGACCGTAAGAGGAAAAAATTTCAGATTAAGACGTGCGTGGAGCCCCGACTCGTCGAAGCCTCCGTGGCGCAATCGGCTAGCGCGTTCGGCTGTTAACCGAAAGGTTGGTGGTTCGAGCCCACCCGGGGGCGTTTGTTTTTGGTCTACGATTTCGTCCACCTTGTAACTTTTGCCAATACAGACAATAGTTTCAATGCCCTCTTTTACAAGTATTTCATTGTGACTCTCATTTCTAAGGATATCTTTCATTAACTCATTTTTTCTCATTAACTCATCATGTTACTATCATATGATTTTAATGTTTACCATCTATATTCTTGTATCATATTTATATACACATATGCCCGTCAACTTTGGTAATGCTCTAAAAAAAAAAAAAAAAAATTCGAATCAATTAGTAAAATATGTTGAAATCTAATGATTTTACATGCAGATGAACGTGAAGAAATTTAATCGTTGAGAAATGGCGTTTGTGTTGTGTTGAAGGGCAAAAATAAAATAAAAATTGACCCCGACGTGATTTGAACACGCAACCTTCTGATCTGGAGTCAGACGCGCTACCGTTGCGCCACGGAGTCTTGTGTCAGACGCTCCTTGAGAGCGGACGATACTTATAGGACACGTGTATATGGGACATTCCACACGGGTTTGAAGTACTACCGTCAGGTAGTGCGACTCCTAGATAGTCCTTTTTACTTTACAATTTCATAGATAAATTTGTAATTAATTGATATCGACAAACCTGATTTGTCAGAAGAAAACAAGCCAACACTCCAAGTGACCACCAATCAACCTCATGTCCATAATACTGTCTTTTAATGATTTCCGGGGCTGAAATGAGAAATAAATTATAACTTTGCAAAAAAGTAAAAAAAATTATTTACAAGTTGTATAAAAATGAGTTTACCCATGTATTCTAAAGTTCCGCAGAACGTGCCAGTTCTATGTGTAGGCCTAAGCCATTTAGCTAATCCAAAATCTATGAGCATGGCATGACCTTCATTGTCAAGTAAAATATTAGATGCCTTTAAATCCCTATGAATTATCCCTGCATTATGCAGAAAATCTAGGAAAAATTTTTAATTTTACTAATTTTTTCCACAAGAAAACAATCACTTACTATTCATAACTTGACTTACCTAAAGCTAAAGCTATCTCTGCAACATATATCCTAACTAAACCCTCCGATAAACAGCCATATTCATGGACTAGAGAAAGCAACTCACCACTACCTATGTACTGAGTTACTGAAATACACAATTTTGTATTAATTGTAATTAGAAAACGTAATTTTGTTTGATATATATTTCAACTCACAAATGTATAAAGTTTTTCTTCCTTGCCAATGATGAGGTGAACTGGCAATAAAAGTATGGTGGCCAACAGCTTTTTGTATGGATACCTTGAATGATAAAATTCTCAAAGTTTGTGTACTACTAGTATAGTACTTAATAGCAAAATTTAATTCTTACCTCTTGTTTGGCCTGTTCAACCGCATTTTCAGCAACTATTTTAGCTTTGCTGATCACCTTTAAAGCAAATATTTCTTTTGTATCCTTTTTTCGTACTTTATATACTCTACCATAGGCTCCCTTAGAAATAATATCAATGAACACATAGTCGATTTTCAAAGGTGCTTCCCTAACTGGAAACTCAGGTAAGAACATAGCTTCAAATCTTGGCACAGGCCATGCAGTCTTTGAGGAATTAAGTCGATCATTTAAAGTATTTTCACTCCAACTGAAAAAAAAAAAAACAATTTTTAATAAATCATAAGCCAATCAAAGACTAAACATGTCTGCTCTTACCTTCTACGTGAGAATCTGGACCAAGGTCTTAGCTCTTCGCACGAAGCCTGAGGAGTCCTGGTGAATGTTTTTCTAATAATATCACTGAGGCTGTACTACAATGATTAACGTAATTTGCATCATTATTTTTGTTTTAGGTTAGAAAGATGTGTGAAAATTGTAATTTACTTGGCTTTCATATTGTCGGTGGACGTAGCGATAATTTTTTTCGTTTGAATTTCCCATCCGATCTCAAATGCGATCATAAAAAATACTAAATACTATCCTTTCCGATTTTCTAACTAAAAACTTTGAATTTGGAATCTGTCAAACAGCTTTGGGAAAACGAGACACTGTACACACCTACTTTTTATCACGAACACCTCACTGATGCACAGTTGAAAATGAAGTTCGAAAAGAAAAAAAAACTAAAAAAAAAACTAAAAAAAAAAAAAAAAAACGAATACCGCCGTTTGCCGTTTGCCGGCTTATTTCAAACGTCATTGACTTTTATCTTCAAGCGTAAGTACATATATATATGCGAGTCCATCAGTTTCAGCCTGTACTATACCAAGAAATGATCAAACTTGTGTACTGTATACCGACGCACCCATACATACTTACAAAGCACGTGTAAAACATGCTTGACATGCAAGTTTGACAGATCTTTAGGTAAGTAAAGTACTTATATATATGTGGTAAAACATGTTGTTTATTTTCATTTAAAATCAATTAATTAATCTACCTCATCTGTAGTTGGCTAATTACCAGCTACTGGTAATTTTACCAATCGATGGCTCATCTGTCGATAAATACCATCACTACTCTGTCACTTACCGATATGAGTTTATGAGTTCCAAAAGTTATAAACGATCAATTCTGAGGATCATCGTGTGTACCAAATACAAATCCTAATACATTATGTAAAGCTGCACTCTTCGTTAAAAAATATTTTTCAAAAAATTTGCAGAGACCTGCAAAAGTATAGTGCCGCGGTACTTAATACCTATCGACAAAAAAAAGCAACACTTATATAATTGAAACTCAACAACCAATAACCCAAGTAACCCAACCCCAGAGACCCCACACACACAACACACTATCGTGCAAAGAGAAAGAGAGACGGAGACTCGGAGAGAGAACGGATCGCATCGCGGACTATCGGAGCCGACAGAAGTTTATAAGAGAGACAGTCGCTCGACGACGTCGCGTCGATGCGGTTTCAGCGGTGCAAAAATAAACACTGTGACTACTTTGCGCTTTCGTCGTTCGTCCTTATAGTTTAGCTTGAATTACAAAAGGATGGGCGACGCGAGGAGCATATTATACCCAAGATTTTATTGAATTATCCTAAGTGGAAGAACGTCGAGTGGAGTACTTGCATGAATTAAGTGAATTTGAGTGAAAGCGAGCGTTCCTATCGCAAAATTTCTGCTCTGCAAATTTGCCCTGCACACGAGAGATCTCGAAGGATGAGAAAAGGAAGAAAGAAACAAGTACCGAACTGCTGCTGCTTTACGTGCGTATAAACGTGTCCCAAGGAGGAAAAGAGAGAAAGCGAAAGGAAAGAATAAGGACATATTGGTGAAAGAGACGGAGGGATATATGCTGCGTGCAAGGGAGGCGTGTAATAAATATATAGGTGTACATATTGCAATGTATAGACGGGCCGAGTATAGGGAGAGCAGATGTCAGATTCGAACCAGAAGTACGTCAACAGGACTGTTGCAGGAGCAGTAGTACTGCATCATTGTTGTTATTGTCCATCGTGGTGCACGCAGCATCAGTAGTACATATATACTACTTACTCTACTGGCGAGATGTCAATGAAGGCAAGTCACATTTTTCGTTTCCTCCCAGCATGTCTCATTGCACACGAGATCGAGTATATATAACATATATATTTTTTAAACGTATTACTTTAGTATTTTTTTTTTTTTTTTCTTAAAAGTAAAAAGAGTATGTATATGTATACATCGGCTAGTCCGCTCGAACTCGTCTGCTACTACTTACTCGCACATCCTTGTCATCCCTGATCTATTGATACCTGCTATATATTTACATAAACGAATCAGAATGAAATCATACATCGGTACCTACCTGTACTGGATATATTTATATTATTATGACGTGTGTAAAATATACGTACTTGATTGTAATACACATATACCTTTGTCGGCTCGATGATCGCGACAACTTGCAAATTTTTTTGCCGACATGAATACGCACGTTCATTTTTAGGTATGAGTATTACTTATTTTATTAGTACGAATTACGTTTGAATAAAGTACAGTAAGTATAAGTATATTATGGGGCATATATGGGCATACCCATGCACACAAGTGCACGTATATATAAATATATACACCCGCACTCTCGGCGAAATTCCACGCGTTCGGTCTGCCGTGTACATTTTGCACTACAGGTGCGTGCCGTCCAGTCAGACCCTACATATAAATATACTGCCGGGCGCATCCAGTGTGGCGAGCTCTTTCTATATCTGCTCCTCATCTTTACCGTTAGTCCTTTTCTTATTCATTTATTTATTGCACATGATACGGTATATTTGGCAGTGCTGTCGAAAATCAGCGTAAAATAATATAATTGTTTTTCTCCATTAAAAATAAAAAATTAAAAAAAAAAAAAGACGAGGAGATAAACGATTCGTGAGCATGTAGGGTTTAATTTACCGCTCACGGCGACATGTCAACGCGTTCGCGTGTTGAGTTAAATTGAACGAGGGAAGATAAGCTTGTAATCGACGATGATGATGAGTGTTTGCTCTCGAGCTCTTTCTCGCTGTGGCGTGTAAATTTATGGGTGTGTGTATGTACAGTTAACACGTACAGATGAATCAAATTTTATTTTTTGGGACACTACCGATTTTTCCACGCGTGTCTCTAAGACTTAACGAGATGATACAAAACATATCGAATATTCAGCTCTTCGCTTCCTCGCTCTCTATATTATACATCAGGTGAAAAGCAGAGCGTGAATATTTCAATTAGCTTTGATAATTAGCTCGAGGAAAATGTATATCGTGCAACGATCAAAACAAAAAGCCGTAAAATCACCATCCGAGGTACTTATATACTTACTGTACAGTACTGCGCACGCTTTCGTGTCTGTTCGATTCTAATTTGCCGTTTGCGAGTAGGTGTACAGAGAAACAGCTGGAAGATACGGTATTTTTCTTTTTCTTTCAACATTCATAACTGCGTTACTGAAAAAAAAAAAAAAATGTTATTGTACACTGTATAATCCTTTTTCTCTCGCTCTCTCTTATTCTGTTGTTCTTAATTGTCATAAATGTAGTTTTAACGAACGTAAGGAAAATAAATCACATCGTGTAACGAACAAAAATAGAGGCATATTGAAAAATTGAAATACAAAAGATCTAAATGTAATGCGTAACTCTAAACTCGTCAGTAGCGAGCAAAGAAAACTTTGAACGTCATCGACAACACTAGGTAGTTATGTAAAAATAGTTTTTCCGCACTCGGGTGGTTTTGGGAGGCTGGTACTTCCTCGGGCGAAAAAGCAGTTTTCCGGAACTCGTTCAAAAAGTCTCCTTTACGAACCTCGTTACGCCTCGCCTTCGGCTCGGGCCGCAAACCTCTCGGTTCGCAAACAGAGACTTTTCAAACTCGTAGGAAAACTACTATTTTTTTTTTGTTCAACTAGATTCTCTCATCTATGTGTATATGTATTATATATCTCTTTCGTATGTGCATAAACATGACACGCGACGACGTATGTATACATGCACCGACTTAATCATCGTAGTACTGAGTTTTCGTCCATCCTCGTCCGCGTTAACTATTCCCACAGAAGTGCATATTTGTCTGAATAAAAATGATCGTCCCATTGTTCCGAGACGCACTGTTGGCTAATGTACAAAAAAAAAAAAGGCTCGTGTATTGTGCCATCCGGCTTGCAAAATATTTTACACATCGAGTACCTACACTTTGTTGTCCCGAAATAGAGACAGGGAGGGAGAAAGAACAAACGAGCAGCGTCGTAAAGTCGAAAACGAAAAGCTTTTCTTATCTCTCCCATCAAGGATGAATTTAGTCGGGCAATAAAAGAGAAATCAATGATTCACGCTGAGCTTCCAGACAATACATCATCGGTTATTAAAATTGTTTTTGTCTTGAAAATGTTTCAGAAAGAGTCGCCCTGGGACGTGCAACTGCACTTGGCGGCAGCTCGAGGGGACGCCAAGCGACTGCAGACCCTCTTGGACTCGGGTCGCGTCCACGTCGACTGCAAGGACAAGGTCGGTCGGGTCGAGTGATGTTCTTATTTGCATGACACGCAATGACTGTTAGAAAAATAACGTAACCCGATACAATCGATGTATAATATAATATACTTACCACGTCTCAGATGTATATACTTCCTTGTATACCCGAGGCGTGGAGCCTTCAATTGGTCAATGATACATTGCAGTCATCGCCACGCGATACGGCCATGTATACAATAATGTACTTGTACGCGTGTGGGACGAGCTTTAATGGTGAGTCTGAAATTTCGAGCGCTCGCCCAGAGCATTTTTGAGAAACTAAAAAAAAAAAAAAAAAATTTAACGACTTAAATGACGTTGGTCTAGTCTTTCCAGTTCGTAAGTAAAGGTATAATTTTTTCACGTTTGTAAGTTCTTTGACAGTTGTTTTAATGGTTAATTATAGAAGCTTTTAGTCGTTAAATGCCTCTGGGCGAGCTTTCGAAACTTCGGACTCGTCTTTAACGCCGTCATCGGAAACGAAAGCTATTATACTTTAAACTTCACAATTTTCCCTTTTGATGTATATATACTTATATACTTGCACGTTAACGAGAGGCAAGTATTAATTTTCGTTGAACTGTATACGTTGACCCGAGAGAAAGTACAGCCGATTATACGCTTATGTTGCTGACGCGCGTGTCTATACATTGGATAAACGCATTACCTGGCTAATACATATATACATGATATTATATAGAAAAACGTTTGTAAAATTAACTAAGGTTCAACGTTGTTTAAATGACATTAGATAACACGAGCTGCAAAACGATTATCGATACTGCTATGTCTCCGCACTTATACGTATATAAATCTATTTTGTATAAATAGAACTGTTGTTTGAAAATAGAACGCACGTCGGTTTATTTATATCGAACGGTAGCCCAATCGCCGAGCAGGTGTATTTATATTTATGTATCGAGTGGTCGCGTAATCCATGTGTTTTCATTAATTTGAATATTAATTGAATTCAACTCTAATGCGACTTGCGATCGCGATCAATTTGTACGCGTATCATTTAATCGAGATTACTTCCAGTGATGTTTTAGACGGACGGAACTATTAACAGGACAACCGCGGATGATTTTTCTGTGTCGACCGGTAGGTTTTTTTTTTTTTTAATTGTAAAACTGTAAAAAACGATAAAAATACCGAGTATAAGTGGGACTCAAAACTAGTTTGTTATACAGTTGTTGAATGAATAAAAAAAAAAAAGTTTTCAAATTTTTTCTGCTTGGAATCCGTGTTTGCAAGTAGCTGATATGGTAAACATTTTTTCGGATAAATTTACGAGCGATAATTCATATACGATAAAATTCATCTGGAAATGCAATCAAGAAGCGAAACTCGTTTTTGTGTAGCTATAAAAAAAAAAAAAAAAAAAAAAAAATACCGAATTTGTTTTCAGGACGGTACAACACCACTGATTTTGGCAGCAGCCGGAGGACACTACGACGCCGTCGTCGAGCTGCTGCAGCAGGGAGCCGATCCCAACGGCAAGAGACTGGTAAGACTATTATATCGACTTTGATTATTGATTTTAAAGTAAAAATTTTCTCTTTAATCTATTTTTATTCGCACTGAGGTATTCATTCATTGAATGAGTAAAAAAAAGAAAAAAAAATTACTCATGGACGTAGTAAGCCGCAATGATTTTTCAAAAATGAGCAAAAAAAGAGACATCCATTAATTCGAGGCCATTGCTTGTGTTACTACGTGTAACATCGTCACAAGTACACATAAATACAAAATACACACTGCGTCAACTATATACGTGCGCGCTTCTTGTTTGCACAGTAGAGCACACATAATACTTTCTCTAACCTATGGTATGTACATATAATATGTATTATGTATAACAATTGACAAAGTACGGAAAGACACACACACAATGTATACATGCGTGTACAAACTCGAAAGAAAAATTAAAAAAAAAACGTCTCGGTAAACACCAATGGAGACTCATGGCAACTAAGTATATGATAATTCAATACGAATAATGATATACACTCGAGCCCCTTCTTCGCCGGAGCGAATATTTGCTTGTCGATTGAAAAATTTTGCCCCGTTCTTGAGGACAAACCGCTTAAAGGAAAAATAACAAAAGAGTCAACGAATGCTTGTCTCTCCTCGTCGCCGACGCTATACAGCTCTCAAGTACGCAGTTGCAACAGTCAGGAGTTACTAAACATAATAATAAAAAAAAAGTGCGTGTGACGGGAGAGCCACACGCTTGGGACTCAATTACTCATCGGGGCTAGCTTCGTCGTCTTCGTCTACACAATGTACCTACACTTCAACGCACTTTAGATCGCGCTCTCGCACCGCTCACGGTATATATAAGATCTTTGGGGGTATACGAAGAAAAGAGCAAAGAACGGCAAAAAAGCCGAATAAAAAGACAAAAGAATCCATGTACATGTACAAGTACGGCCTTGGCGGCGGCTGTACACGCCGTACCGTGTACCTATATATATATAAGAGTATGTAGCGCCCGATACTATACATAGATTTTTCACTTTCGCACGCGCGTTGCCCGAGACGACGTGACAAGAGCAAAAAATCCGCCGTTCCCTCTTTCTCTACGGGCGGAAGAAGAAAAAAAAAAAAACGGAAGAACACAAGATACCTGTACTTATATCTATAAACTTGTACAAGCGGGAAGTAGACTCTTTGGTGCAGCAGTGAATTTCAAAGGGGAAGGTGATGACGACGACGCGATCTATCGCGAATCGCGAGTGTATTATGTTGTAAGTAGGCGTACAATTGGGGGAACCCCCCTATACACATATGTATATATTATGTATACACTCGAGAGCCTTTGATGCGCGCGGAGGCGTATAGTTTTTGCGGAAAAGTCTTTCGCGGGTACCACATTCTATAGGCGCCTATATACGCATATAAAATATACACTGTGTGCGTGTGTAATAAAACATAGTGTGGGCTACGTATATATATATACACACAATACACGTAAAGTGGGGAGGAAAAGAGATATAGAAATGCGGTGTTAAACATAATATTACATGTATATAGCTGCCTCGTTTCAAAGAGAGTTTATGAACTATGGAAATCGCGCGAGAGATATGTATACGTATATTAGTAGGTGTGCTGCCAAAGTTATGACGCTACCCGGATGAAGCGAATGTGTGTATATTATACCTACTTGCGCGGGATCGTTAAAAACGAGAGAGAGAGAGAGAGAGAGAAAAGGATATTTCTCGTCCGATCGCGCGGCTCGTTTCCATTCTGTATACTTATAGGTGTGTTTGATGGGTATGGAATTTCACGTTATACAATAAATAAGTAATATATTTTCGAGGCCTCCAGGCGAGCATGTACACCCGTACCTATATAAATAGGTTCCGGTATATGTATCGATCGGTATGCATATCTCACATATTTATGTACAATACGGGATGATATGATATACATATGTTAATGGAGCACGCGCGTGTGCATTGATTCAAACTTTCTTAAAATGTAAAATGTATTTATATACGTTGATATGAAACACCGGGTTTTCCTCTACACGTTTATGCATACATTGCGCTCAAAGCCACTGGATCCGCGACTCGAGCGGATCGTGTACCCCCCTGTATACTCGTGGTGTACAAAACTGTTAATCTGGCCTTATATAAAGTGTACGCGTGTGTGTTTTTCAACTACGGAAGACACCGAGATACTACATACGACATCGGTAGAAGGGGGACAAAAAAAAAAAAAAAGAATTGGAGGAGCCTCAAAAGCGCGAAACGAAGAAGAAGAAGCCAAGTCGGCTACGCGAGATAAGGAGAGCCGGTTTGAAATCTAGGCTTTGCAAATACATATACATGCCCGCCATGAAGAACCAGTCGAACTTTACGCGCCTACGCTTGTTGCTAACATACGATGATCATTATTATTGTTGTTGTTGTTGTTGTTGTTGTTGTTCACAACGCTCGAAAGTACAGCTATCGTGTGTAGCTTATACGTGTAACATGTATATACGAACGAAAAAGAGGTGAAACGGCACGGAAAACTTCAGGCTGGCATCCTCATCCTCCTGTAAATCATGCAACGAACGAAAATCCGGTTTCGCTTGTCTATACAACGTATAATGCTTAGATCAGAAATAGCACGCGTTGCATGCGCTAAATAATTTGTCGTGCTTGTACATATATGTATGTACACATGTATCTCGGTGCTCTTGCGAGCTTTTTTTAAAAGGGGAGACGGACCTTATACCCTTTGGCACGATCAAGACAAGCGTATATATATATAGGTACTTTGTTCTATCTTTCTGTACGCGTTGCGATGAAGCCGTTATTGCACATGTGTGTACTTATCCCATACATGCATGTATCGTTCACAGAAAGGGTGAAAATGTGTTGTTGTTTTAGAGCCAAAAGTAGTCGATAATCACTCAAATGGAATTGGATGATCGTATAGGTATATATACTTATCGATGTTGCATAAAAAATTTAAGACTCGGAAGGTGCCGGGCGACGTTATTGACCTTTGCACGCAACACAATATACCCGTATAATATACACATACACGCAATTGGTGCGAATGTACGTAACTACAATAAATGATATAGATGCACAAAAAGAGCGAGTAAGTATATATTGCGTAATATCGTTCTAATCGTTATATAGGAAGAAAGAGGTGGTGGAACCGCGTTGCGCAATATACGTATAAGATACATATAGCGCGCTGGGCTTCGGCCTTTTTTTTTTTTAAACATCGGCAACTTGTGCGTATGTCCATACACATAAAAATTTTTATAGTACGTACGTATACACACTCCCATTGACGTGCTCCTCCGCACGTGTCTATCATATATAGCCTGAGCCGCGCTAACGAGCTTACGCTTGGATTATATACAAGCCAGACCTGCAGGGGAGACCTGTTGTATAATGTATACGGTCTCACGTTTGCATGTACGTATACGTAGCTTGATGCAGCTTTTTTTTTTTTCGTCGTCCCGTGAATGGCTGTACGTACAAACTACTATACTCCATTTATGTTCGAAACGAGAATCGAATTGCTCCATGTACATTTATACCCGCTCGTCGATTCGGTATTTCGTATCGAGTATTTTTCTTTTCTCTCTCTCTCTCTCTCCCTGCACGGGTGTACACGAAAGAGAATTTTTATGTCTTTTGGCCCAGGGAATCGTCACACTGTATATTTATAACCCACCGTTCCAAAATACGATTCGAACAACAGATGTGGAATACAACGTCACTCGAGCGCATAACAATATTACATCGGCAGCTCATTATTATCATTATATTTCATACGTTCGGATCTGCCCTTGTTCTACAGCTCGCAATATATACAACGTCATGATATGGTAAGGTGCAAAGCTTTAATACAAATAGGTAATATCACACGGATCGGTATGTAGTGATCTTTCGACGACGGGACACGACACATCATAGCATGTATACGTATAAGCAAAGTGATAAACGGTGTACTGCATGTGTACGCTGTTTAACGACGCGACGCTCGCTCGCCCTCGCGTTAATTTGTTCGTATAGAGTGTATAAGCACGCGCGTGGCAAACGTGAAAAACGCGTCCAGAAGTGGGTGGGGAAAGTATCGTAAACGTGCGTGTATATATATATATATATATATATATATATACGTATAGCGTCAACGTCGATAAAAATACGTTATTCATTGTTGAGCGATCGAAATTCCCCGGCGAGCCGACACACTTTTTTTCATATACACGCGACATAGTATGCTTTCCATCTACTTCCCCTTTCCTGTATCCCCTGAAAAAACGAATTAACGTCCAAGTTCGATGCGCGACAAAATCGACCCACAAACGGACGAACCGGACAACGCGCAACGGAGCTTTTTTTTATTTTTGCTTTCTTTTCCGTGCAGTATGTACGTTACAAATGTATACCTGTATAATATATAGTCTGGAAAAACTCATCACGCGCTCCGTTGAATCTCAAAAAACGCGGCAACAAACAAAGCTCGATCCTAACTTTGTTTTTTTCCCTTTCTTTCTTTATCCTCCGAGGAAAAAGGGGAGAAAAAAAGAAGCGCCATAATCGACGATGCGGAACATCGGTGTTTTCTCCGGCTCTAGAATTTCCGCGGCGATTATCTCTCTCTTCCTCCCTGTCTCTTGTTTCCACGGCGACTCGACGTGGTCCGCGAACCGCGAGATCCCCGGGTTGCGTACAACAGCGGATGAGTTGTCGACGACATTCAGATCGGCATTCGAGGCTTACTCTCTCCCTTAATCGATCGAAAGAGGTTTGTCAGTCCCTACATTGAAATGTTTTCCGAAAAGTCGGAGAAACGCGAGGGAAGCCTCGAAAGCGCTAAATCGTTTGCACGCGTATGTACGAGGACACGGGCTTCGTTGGACGAAGGTCATTGCTTAACGAAACTAAACGCACAAATATATACTTTACTACTTACATATGTAAGTACAACATTGCACCAGATTCGAGAAACGCGGCTCACTCGCTCGCCCAACGCTCCATCGCGTGCTTATGTGTATATTATCATGCAGGTATACATTTATGTATATTGGTTACCTGTTGAAAGTATACGTATAAGCGGCAGAATTTTTTTTTTTTTTAATCGTAAAAACGATTCAGGCCCATACACGGTGTTGATGAAAGTGCAACGTTTGGACGGTAAATAATTTGAGTACTCTATGGGAAATTGAGCCGTAGTTGGATGACAAAATATTATATCGGTATGCCGGGAGAGTTGAGCCAAAACACGTGCACTCCATTCGGTATATGTATAAGAGGCTTTAACAGGTATAAAAGAGAGAGAGAGAGACCGGTTGCGAGATCGGTTTTCTTTCTCTCCGTTGTATAATACCTATGTATGTATTATATATACCCAGAAGGAGCCTCGTGGCCCGGCGCGCGCGCCAAGAGAGAAAGATCGGTCGCCGACCCCGAGGGTCCGATGGCGCGCGGCTTCATGTCAGCGCGGGATCCTTTCTCGTTAAACGCATCGAAATGATATACCTTTGCTCGGGTAGTTTTAAGAATACACACACCTGCGTGCGTGGACCCGCTTACGAGATTCGCTTGATCGGTAAAGTGCAGGGATATATGCAATTTTTGAAAAATCGGTTTACGATCTATGAGTATACATAAGTTACGGCAATGGGTTTCTATGTACATACAAGATTGACAATCGCATGTTGTTTGTTTATTTTCCAGACAGGCACGACGCCCCTGTTTTTCGCCGCACAAGGTGGTTACACGGACATCGTGAACGTCTTATTGAAAAACGACGCGGTCGTCGACTCGTTCAGCATCGTAAGTTTCATTGTTCGTTGATTATTTAAGGATATAAGTACTAGAAGGAGATAAGTACGACAAACGAGTTTTGTTTTTGATTCAAGGACGGCAGTACGCCGCTTTTCGTTGCGTGCCAATGCGGCCACCTGGACGTCGTAGAGGATCTCATTGCCAAGGGCGCCAACGTCAATGCCCACATGAAGGTACGTTATCCCATTGTGCACGCGACATTGGTATACAATTAACGGTTCATTATGCTTGTATTACGCGGACGACCAATCGTTGAGATATTTTTTCCATACAACTCGCTTTGGTAGTCTTTGTGTAAAAAACGTAACACCAGAACGGAACCCGATTCAAAAATCGAATGACCCCGTGAAAAGTCAGGAACAGTCATCGATTTGTTGTAAAATTTCCACTCTTGGTGTCCATTTATGTCCCCCCCGTACAAAAGGGAGACGGAGATCCAAATAAGCCACCGGTGTAATACAAAAGCAAGCGTTGAAATGTAGACGTCAACAAAGCCCACGAGCGGCGAAGCAAAAAGAGAAGAGAAAAGGACGATTATACGTACGGCTAACTTGCAACATATATGTATACAAATGTGGGTGTGGGTGTACATAGGTGCCTAGGGCACACAGTGGCGTTTATCGCGAATAGAAAACAAAGCAGTCAGTCAAAATTCTCATGGTTCTCCGCGCTCTGTGCACCGCATGTATAGGTGTATTGTGTAGCGTGCGGTATTGCAATTACGGGTAAAGTCACGCGAAAGCTCGAGTAAACTGTTTACCGGAATTCGGTGGATGATATACGAGAGCACTGCACACGTGTGCTGATTAGTATTGTTGTTTCTGCCGCCTGCACCGTGTTGTTTCGCGCTTTTTTCTTCATTACCCATATATATATACTTTCGGGATGTACAATTATTTGCACACCTTGTGACGTGGTAGCTGAAGCTACCACGTCACTATATACCTATATTCTGGGCGAGTCATTGGCGGCTACCGAGTCCTATGATACTGTATATATTTTACACATGTATCGTTTTACAACACATTCTTACACACATTCTCGGTGCCGCGGACTACGAGCCAGAGGAGAGAGAAGGACCGAAGACCAGAAAAGGGATTGAAAGAGTGTGTGGTATGATTGGGTGAGCATGTGTGTAAGGTAGAGAAGGAGAGAGGGGCGAGGGCTCGACACACGTCGGAGAGGTGTGAGCACCGAGCGGCCGCGTCAATTCCCGAGTTTTTGGAAACCTCCAATAATTTACCGGTTTTTAGGAGTGTTAGAGATTTTTCGTATTCACGGGAGGGGCGCGCGCATCTGTTGAAGTGCACTGCCATAACGCAGCAGTACCGCGAGAGCCATCAGAGAGAGCAGAGTCAAGGAGAGTTGTAGCAGCCACGATCGAGAGAACGCGGAAAGTGGGACGAGTATCTGCGAGAGCCATTAGAGAGAGCAGAGTAGGAAATAAAAGTATTAGTGATAGCTAGGGAAGTGATAGGGCAGAGGAAGGGATTGCGGAGAGCGAGGTCAAGGTCAAGTGTAACGAGAGAGAGCAGCTGAGGCTAGGAAAAAGTGGAATTTGCGAGAGACCATGAGACAAGGGCAACGAGCAGAGAGAACGGCCGAGCCGTCACGACGAGTGAGACGAATTCCAGGCAGTCGTAACCCACAAGGATCACCAGGAGGTAAGTGTACTGTAAATAGTGCACCGGGTGGTATACGGGATAGTGTTGGGACGATCCGAGCGGGCGCGGATGAGTGTGTGTAAGCGTGGAAAAGGGGGTGTAGTGGTGGGTAGAGGTGGTGTCAGGTTGTAGGTCACCAGGAGTAAGGTCGAGAGACAAGAGGTGTAAGTGGGATTGTGTGCGAGCGTGTGCGTGTGAGTGAGAGATTTAGGTACGGGTCATCGCCAACTGAATAAAGGTTAAGGCCGGCGGAGGACGACCAGGAGTTGCTCAACCCAGGACATCTACCTCGAGGACAGTGGAACCATATATCTATTTATACAGAGATATACAAATACTTGGTTACACAATTTCGAGAGAGACAGAGAGAGAGAGTGAAAGGTGGGACTTGTAAAGAGTAGAGAAGGGAGAATAAATAGCGCNATATTTTCATTTTAGACAAAAATAAAAATATCCATAGTCTTGTGTATGATTGTGTTCCTGCTATTTTTGCTGATTATATACGTGTAAGATTTTTATACAAAATAAACAAAATTTTTAAACTGTTTTTCTTTTGAGTAAAAAATTTATTTCTCTTAGAGAATATAGTGTTTTAATTTGGAAATATAATATGTTTGAAATTCCTCATTGTCACGATTTTTTAGATGAAATATTTACATAATTATTAAAAAACATAACAACACCTTTTGCACTTGGTCTCGTCTTAAAATCTTCATCAGTACAAGCAAAAAATATTTCCAACACTTTCCCATACTCTGAAAGATCGATAGCAGGCAAGGGTGGTCTCGTTCCTTAATATTTAGAGATTCAGTAAATTTTTTAGATAAACCAAAGAGACATTCAAATTAACATTCATAAAAAAATCACTTACCATATTTGCTATCATCAGGATCGTCTAAGCTTTGAATAAAACTGTCATATTCAATATCAGTTTCTTGGGTGGTGTTCAAGTTTTTACATTCAAGTATTGAATCATCAGTCATATTCATGAGATCATCTTCTGGAGTGCCAATGTGTGGTGGTGATAATGCTATCATTTCCCACAGCACCAGGCCATAAGACCATATATCTGCCTTGTTGCTAATAGGTCCATCAACTATAATTTAAGTCAATGACTGTTTCAAAAAAAAGTACAACAGTGAGAAAATAAAAATATTTTAGATTACCATTGAGAACTTCTGGAGCTGTCCAACATGGAGTGCCAACATATTCACACTTTTTTGTCATGTCAACTTCAAGGTTTTCTGTCAATGGCATGGAAACACCAAAGTCACAGATTTTGACAATACTGTAATTCCTAGAGAGAAGAATGTTAAAGCTTTTCATGTCACCATGAAGTATATAAGCTGAGTGATGCAGATACTCCAAGCCTTTTGCTATTTCAAAGCCAATTTTTAATATTTCATTAGCTGAAAACTGCATCTCTCCTCCTTCAACTTTTTCCTCAATCAGATCTCCTGCAATTATAAACATTATAGCTCTGAAGACAACGTGAACGTAAAGAATGACTTACCTAATGAAATATCTAGCTTTTCCATGACAAGGCAAGGTTCACCGCTGGCTTCGTGAGTAAGGCCTCTGAATCCCACAATATTCGGGTGATTCAACTTTTTGAGTATGCTAGCTTCAGCCTGTAGCCTGGCTGTGTACTTTGCGTCCTTGACAACATTTTTGTTTCTCTTCTTGATGGCCCAGGGAGACCTAGCGAACCCAACTCTGGGAGACCTTTCCAGTGTGAACACATTTATTCCTGTACAAGCAACGGATGGATGAAACATTGAACAAAATAGCACATCCAACAAAAATAAAATTATTGATAACGTCACTAACCGCATCCGTAACCTATTTGTTTGAGAAAAGGCGAAGGCGGAATTTTTATAGGAGTTTGGAAATCTGGATTGTCCGTCACTCTGCTCCTGAATCTTTTGGCTGTTGGAGTCTTGAAGTCTTCCATTTTTACACGATTGTCCACACTCTCAGCATTTAAAAAAAAGCAACTACTCTTTCACGTTTATGTGCAGAGAACCGTTTGAAACTGTTTTGTAAGTTTTGTTTTGAAAAAATTTTTGAACTCCAAACAATTGTTACCATTTAAGTGGTAAGGTAAGTGCTGCCAACATTGCAAATGCTCCGCAAACGTTGTTTTTATACCTTTAGGACATAAACAACTGCTGCCTGTATATATACACTCGGGATCCGTATCCGTACCATATATAACTTTTTTTCACTTCGCGGGCATATGTTATAACATAGACTGACGTACAGAAAAATAGTTACATGGTACGGCCCCGCATTCCTGTCAAGCCTTCAGCCGCCTGCATGCTCACTCCAGTAGTATATGCTCTAAGGATAAGTATAAGTACGTAAATTATGTGTAGTAATATAGTAATCACTACTAAGTAGTGCCAAATAAGTAGAATATCTATACTTTTCGGGTAAAAGATGAGTTGTATACTTGCCACAAACAGCACAAACAATGTCACCTTTTTATTGTCTATCTGTAAAACTAGTTGCGGCTGGTTTATAGTTGATAATATGACTCTACTGTAAATAGCAGTAATTATTTGGATCAGCGCCATCTAGCGGTCTTCATTTTTGAGCGAAAAGTGGCCTCTAAAATTCTCAATCAGAGCAATCAGGATTAGAGCCATTTAGTCAATTATAANCCTTTTCAGGAGTGTTCGGCGTTCCCGAGCCGAGCACCAGCGGCAGACCTCCCGGAGGAGAGGAATCCAGTGGAGAGGGACGAGGAGGAGTAAGTAAGCGAGTTTTGTGAGAGAATTCGGGACGGCTGTTTTCTCGGCCGAAAAATTCTCGTCACAACCTACAGTGGATTTTTTTCCCCCTACGATTCCATGGGGTATATACTGTACTGCGTGTATTCATACAAACGTGACATTAATGAATGAAATGATGATGTTGTTGCAGGATGGTGCGACGGTGCTCTTCATCGCAGCGCAAAACGGCCACGTGAAAATTTTGGAGCTACTCCTGGGCCGCGGGGCGAGAACCGATGCCGCGCGAACGGACGGCGCGACGCCCCTGTGGATAGCCGCTCAGATGGGTCACGACCACGTGGTCAGGAGGCTCCTCAAAGCCGGCGCCAAAGTCGACTCCAAACGACACGTGAGACCATACTTACGCAATATTATACATTACAAAAGTAATCGGCTATGCTCTCGACAATTATTCGATTTTTTTTTTTTTTTTTTTTTTGTAATTTTTCGCTATTGATACATACACGTGGGTATCGCTACTAGAATAGGCCGTTGGTTATTTTTGATGTATACAGAGACGCTCGTGGATGATTTATAATGACGAGGCAGAAAATGATGCACTACAGGTGTGTCGTTACCTCATACTTGGTAATATTACGCGGGAGAAATCTTCGTGGCTTCCGTATTGCCATGCGTGTGTATAATATACATAACGCGTGTGATTAAGATCAATGAATCGCTAAGTATACGCCTTTCGGACAACTCGTTACGCCTTAAACGCGCCCGACGGCTGTATGTGGATCGCGTTTGTCGGGCGGAGCAGGCTTATTAGCGCTTCGATCAACTGCGATTTTATGTATATATAGGATCCGGCACGCGCGCACCCGATTTTCTCGAAGGAGGTGTGCACGTAATGGGGAACAAAAGCGGTGTTCTCACGTATAGTATATGGGTATACAGTTGCTTCGCACCTGCGGATGATAAACAGATATAACAAGATTGACGAGAGGGTGTTACTTTTCAGGATGGCGCAACGCCTCTATTCAAAGCCTCTCACAAAGGCCACACGGCCGTCGTCGGAGAATTACTCAAGTACCTACCGAATCTTGGAATCCTTCCCGTAAGTTGGATACGATAATTAATCATCACAAACTCAATGCCGATGTAATTTTGGGCCTTTTTGCAAAGTTCTCTTTGACGCGCGTCCCTAAAAAAAACTTTAAATTTGTAAAGTGCTCCAAAAGCAGAGTCACTTAATGCTTGAAAACACGTTTGTAGAGAAAAAAAAAAGAAAAAAAAAAAAAAAAGAAAAAACCTCCCGTACTCACGACTGGTGTGTTTAATTTTAGAACGGGGAAAGTGCACTCCACGCCGCAGCGTTATTGGGTCACATGACGGTGACCCGTCAGTTGGTGGGCGCCGGAGCGGATCCGCTGTTGGTTAATCAGGAAGGGTTCACGCCACTACAGTTGGCTATGAGGCACGCTCAGAACCAGGTTGCCAATTACCTCAAGGACAAAATCAGGTCAAGGACGACGGCACCCTGCTAACGAGCGCTCACGTGTCGTGCAGTTCAGCATCTCTCCTCCCTCCTCGTTTGACGAAATTACCTCTCGTTTTCATCCGAACCCTCTTTTTACTTTTAAGATGGAGTACATTGTGAATTTAAATCTCGAGTATGCGAGTGGTATACGGTGCCCCAGAATAGTGTTCTTACGTGCCTTGGTACCCTGAAATGTGTGCGATCGAGTTTACCCATGATCAGGTTAATTCAAAAAGTTCGTTAAAATTATTTGGATCACCCGATTTTTTTTTTTTTTTTTTTTTTTTTTTTTTTTGCATTGCTAGAGAATTATTTAGAAATTTCGGACGAACTTGACATCGTTTGGGTACTGAGGCACGAACTTGGAAGATATCCAAATATTCGTTGGCGTTAAGAGAGTCGTATAGCTTAAGAAAAGGGAATGGTGAAATACATAATTATATTCGATGAGGTTTTCATTGACGTGCAATGCGAATGATGATTTTTTTTTTTCCTCCTAATGTACATACGTAGAGTTTTTGTTTTGTAATATACGACAGTTCCTTGTTAGGACAAACTTGATATTGTTATGCGTTAGTCGAGCAACTAATTGACCAATCGTGTGTAATCTTTGCTAATGGTTTTCATCAAAGATACGTCCATTATATATTAAGAGATGCTTATTATATGTATGTATACACTATTTAATGTTTACCAAGGATGATAATTGTTGACCATTATTTATTTCAATCAGCAGTCTGCATTATAAAAAAAAAAAAAAAAAAAAACTATTGACATTTTCGATCGAAAGAAAGAAATAAGCATATGCCAAAATCAATTTTAAGGTTTGTGGAAATTTTATAAGACTGACTGATTTGCCTTACCGAGAGAATTTTGAAACGTTATCTTTATGTGGGGAGCAATGTAGAAGGCATAATAATGATAATAATTATGAATTAAGGAAAATTTTTTTTAAACCCTTTGCATGTGATCGATCGCTTAGTCTGTAATTCTATAGTTGTTTATGAAAACAGTTTTTTTTTTTTTTTTTTTTTAACTAGTTATAGGAAATCGAAGAATCCCTAAGTCCATGATACGTAAGTGCGAGTCTTCCTAGTGTGAAATATATTACGAAACAAAAGTCTTGTTACTGTTAACCAAAAATATATGACTACAAATATTGCAAAGGATGATAAAAGAATAAAATAAAATTACATTCAACTATTGAAAATAGTACAGATGTCATTTTCTCTTTCCTCCTCTCTACTTTTTATTCATACTAACGTATACAAAAGATAAAATTAATTGGAAGTGATAGGGCAGAGGAAGGGATTGCGGAGAGCGAGGTCAAGGTCAAGTGTAACGAGAGAGAGCAGCTGAGGCTAGGAAAAAGTGGAATTTGCGAGAGACCATGAGACAAGGGCAACGAGCAGAGAGAACGGCCGAGCCGTCACGACGAGTGAGACGAATTCCAGGCAGTCGTAACCCACAAGGATCACCAGGAGGTAAGTGTACTGTAAATAGTGCANGCGGCTGGTTTATAATTGACTAAATGGCTCTAATCCTGATTGCTCTGATTGAGAATTTTAGAGGCCACTTTTCGCTCAAAAATGAAGACCGCTAGATGGCGCTGATCCAACTAATTACTGCTATTTACAGTAGAGTCATATTATCAACTATAAACCAGCCGCAACTAAAGTTATACATAGATAATAAAAAGTTAACATTATCTGTGCTGCTTGGGGCAAGTTTACAATTTATCTGGGTACCCAAAAATGGACCTCTACAAGTAAATAAATATTCTACTTATCTTTTATAGCTTATAAAATCGATTACATTTAATAAATTACCATCCTTTAGAGCTTTTACGATTAACTCATACAGCCCTTTAACTTTATAGTTCCAATAAACAGTTAATTTATATAGTGTATGCATAGCAAAATTTGTGTTACAGAAATCTTTAATTACTGTCAAATATATACGTAAATTTATCAGTCTAAAAAAGACAATTAAGGAAAAAAGGCTGTGAAGAGAAGCACAGTTACACTAACAATGGAGCATTAGATCTCGCTAAATAAAAAATATATTTATTGCAGAGAAGTAAATTTTAAGTATTATAAAAAAACAAAGAACTCAACCTTCTCTGATTTTGTGAGATCCAATGCTCCATTCTTAGGAGACTTCGTATGACTGTACTTCTTTTTTAGGCCTTTTTTCGACTGATTAATTTACATATATATTTGACAGTAATTAAAGATTTCTGTAACACAAATTTTGCTATGCATACACTATATAAATTAACTGTTTATTGGAACTATAAAGTTAAAGGGCTGTATGAGTTAATCGTAAAAGCTCTAAAGGATGGTAATTTATTAAATGTAATCGATTTTATAAGCTATAAAAGATAAGTAGAATATTTATTTACTTGTAGAGGTCCATTTTTGGGTACCCAGATAAATTGTAAACTTGCCCCAAGCAGCACAGATAATGTTAACTTTTTATTATCTATGTATAACTTTAGTTGCGGCTGGTTTATAGTTGATAATATGACTCTACTGTAAATAGCAGTAATTAGTTGGATCAGCGCCATCTAGCGGTCTTCATTTTTGAGCGAAAAGTGGCCTCTAAAATTCTCAATCAGAGCAATCAGGATTAGAGCCATTTAGTCAATTATAAACCAGCCGCAACTCATAATGAAGCTATAAAATGAAAAAATAACGATACATGTGTTTTTGGCGGCAAGTTAACAATCTATTTTCTATCAAAAAATCGACCTTCTATGTATTTATACTTTTGAAGATAAAATTTCGGCAAAAGATAGATTGTTAACTTGCCGCCAAAAACACATGTATCGTTATTTTTTCATTTTATAGCTTTATCATGAGTTGCGGCTGGTTTATAATTGACTAAATGGCTCTAATCCTGATTGCTCTGATTGAGAATTTTAGAGGCCACTTTTCGCTCAAAAATGAAGACCGCTAGATGGCGCTGATCCAAATAATTACTGCTATTTACAGTAGAGTCATATTATCAACTATAAACCAGCCGCAACTAGTTTTACAGATAGACAATAAAAAGGTGACATTGTTTGTGCTGTTTGTGGCAAGTATATAACTTAAAATTTACCCAAAAATTGACTTCCTACAAGTATATTTAAACTTATTAAATCACACAGTAATTAATTTTTTATTATTTTTTTTATTTGTCATTGTAAATGAAAATACCTGTTTTTTGAGAAAATTATTATTTAAATTTTGATATGGCTTGCCGATGATTTTACTACAGCGTAAATAACTTTACGCTCATGAAAAATTATCATTTTTGAGTTCATTGACTGTACGTATAGTAAAAGCAATCGCTTTTGCTTAGCAATGTGATAAATTAAATTAGTAAATTTTTTCATATACTAACAATTTTCTCATACTATGGGTGCGAGAGAGATGAAGAATCATTTGCCCCCTCTCTCGCACTCGTGCATTCAAATGAATTGCAGAAACTTATTATGGTGTTAAGTACGTCTAAACGCAGCTAAAGTGGTGGCAAAGCCAATCACGAGAGATTTCAAATCCGACGACGATCCGACTGTTCCGAGTTCCGGCCCTATCGTATCGTCGGCAATGTCGGCATCGTCGCTCATGACTCATGAGGATCAGAGTCGTCGTCCGGTGGTCCGGTCTGTCGTTTGATTCTGCAGTAAGCAGTTAGTTCAGTTCAGTTCAGACCTCCCGAGGATACGGACAACTATTGAAAGTAGTATAGGCACAGGCAGTCTCTCTCCACTCGACCTTGCTATAAATATAATCAACAATGTACCTATAGTTATTTTGGTAAAACTAACTTCATCGTCGTTACAGTTACAGCACCGCAGTAACGCTTCGTTAGTGTCCAATTTTCTCATAGCGCGTACCTTTACTCGCTCTCTCTCTCTCTCGTTAAATAACAAAAAAAAAAAATAATCATACACACAATAACACAAACTTCACACACGTCGAACTAAACAAAATGGACGATCTGCAGAATTACAAACTCCAGCTGCAGCAGGTCGAAGCTGCACTCACCAGCGACCCGGACAATGAAGAGCTTCATAAGCTTAAAATCGACCTCGAGGAAGTCATCGAGCTTACCCAGGATCTCATCAAATCGCAACAGCAGGAAAAGAAATCTGACGCCGAGCAAAACGATCCAGAGGTGATAGCTGCTCTAGCTGAAAAGTGGAAAGTTGGCGATCAGTGCCAGGCGCCGTGGTCCGAAGATGGAAAGTAAGTCCATGCGCTTTTTATCATTGTTATTATGATTCCATAGTAATTTTTTTTGTCGAGATGTGTCTGAAATAATAGAGGTTACGTTGTGTTGCCGTTGTTAGTTTGTATCAATGAATATCATGTACGGTTTTCTTGTGACAATAAGTAATTCTGAAACATTTGCAGAAAATGTCATTTGCAATGTGCGCTTACTTGAACGTTCAGACAAATCTTAACAAACATTTACTGTATGTTGCTATAGTTTTATCTGCATCTTTTATTTCATCTCCATTAAATTTAAATTACTAGCAAGTTATCTGAATCAGATTACTAACATCCGTGATAAATAGGTGAGTATAATTTGGTAACTGGGTACTTATTTATTTGGAATTTAATAAAGTGCATCCAAGGTGACGTACTCAATTTAAAAATGTATAATTTTAAACACTAATCGATGTTGAATTTCCATTATAAAAATTTATTCAGTCATTTTATTACCCAAATTAATATTTCTTTTCACCTTTTAGGTATTATGAAGGAACTATCGATGCCATCAATGAAGATGGCTCTGTAAATGTTACTTTTAATGAGTATAAAAACAAAGATGTCACAACACTAAGTCAGTTGAAATCAGTGGCTAAAAGACCAGCATCAGATTACATGGAACAAAAATCCAAGTAAGTATAACTTTTTGTTCTAGTATCAATATAATTATCGATTCTACAAAGTAATTTGAAAAAGTATAGTGCTATATTGTACAGCACAACTTGTAATTTTTTTTTTCACTTTAAAACCAAGCTTTCTTTGAATTGATAGCTAGTTTTTTTTCGTTGCATTTTCTATCACTGTATTTTTCGCAATGAAAATGATTTGTGTTTTTTTTTAAGCAAGTGTTGTATTTAAGTTGTAATGTAAATCCTTTTTTCCTCTTCAAGGAAAATGGCAATTTCTGCTATGGCAGGAATGGACTCAAACAAACAGCGAGAGTACTTGAAAAAGAGAAAACAAAAGAAACAACAAAGATTCAAGGAACTAGAGGAAGAAAGGGAACAGGAGAAAAACAAATGGCTTGCGTTTGCCAACAAGTCAACGAAAAAGGGTGTTCTGAAAAAGAGTATATTTGCAACACCAGAAAATGTAAACGGCCGAGTTGGCATTGGAACTTGTGGTGTCAGTGGCAAAGAAATGACCAAGTATACCAACGGCGAAAAGTGGCGCCGTGGAGCATAAATATGTAAATAATAATTTATAATTAGGTTTTTGTTACAAATTATTGTTACATTAATTTAAGTGGGCCCAGACTTGACTGTAATGACAAGTGTACATGATCTTTGAAGCATCTTATTGATGCTTAGAATACTTTCACTTTTAAAATAGTGACTGTAAACTTGTAAAAAATACTTAGTATGATTGATTTAAGTGTATATACGTATGCGCGCAATTTCGCGAGAATAAAGTGGAATGTTGTATTAAATTTTAGTTTCTTAGTATTGATGCCTAGTTCTATTTATGTTCTCCAGTCCAGATGTCTTGTATGTAAACAAAATTTACTTATGAATAAATTAATATTTTAAATGTTACTTGTTATCAATCGCCCAATTAGTTCTACAACTAATCAGCTTCAACTCTCATTACTGATAATGAGTATAATTTGAATATCTTGTGATGGAGACAGATTTTCCAGTTATTCAGAAATTTATCCGAATCATTGGTGCAAATCTCATTTCCCGAGAAAATATCACAATACCTAAGAAATATGCAAACGAGAAAGATGTATAGCGTGGGAGGTTGTATTATCTGATTTTCGCATACTCAACACGCTCTGCAGTCGTACATCCTGCACTTGACGACTTGACTCCACAGTCTCACAAACATTCGTATTCGTAAGTAGTTTCGTACCTACCCCGCAATGAAATTGATCCCATATACCTATGTTTCGAGCTGAAACAAAACATGGCTACCTACTTAGTACCTACGCACAGAGATACCATCAGTAGCTTTCCGGTGCTTACATATATACCGTTATCGCATAATGACGCCTCTTTGTGCTTAGGGAATTGATTCAAAGCTAAGCCGAAAATCCTCGAGCTCTCCGTCCAACGCTGTTTTTTAAAATAATCAATGCTGACGTGGACACGAAACAGACGAAAATTACCTTACGAGAGGTAAAGTAAATAAAATGTGTGTGCTTTTGCCCCCCCCCTCCTTGTACTCTGTCAAAGTTTCATGAGTATCGATATGAAATTTCTTTTTTTGCTGGATTTTTTTTTTCGCAACAACATAAGTATAAGTACTTAATGGTTTTTTTTTTTTTTTTTTAATTTCTCATCATGCATATGTACATTGTAGGTTTTTTTGTGAGAATGACTAGCTTTGTGTGTACAAGAGACAATAGTTGTACATACTGTTAAACAATCAAGTGCAGTATAATGATTTAAAGCCACGTCGTCTTAATAAAACTTGGAAGTATGGATTACGAAAGGAATAACCGAAATAATGGAAGCGTTGGAAATGACAGAGATGTCGACTGGTCGAGATTCGGACTCAACAACACAGAAAACAGACGGTCCTCCAGATCTGACAGAGGACACGATGAATTGGGTTCGGACATGTATCAAACTGGAACAAATGAACTCTTTGCACAAGAATATGTATGCATACGTGCGCTTGTTGACACTTGTGCGTGATAAATTAACACCAGTTGTCTTGTAACAAATATTTATTGCAGAACTCAGATCCGTGGTGGAAGTCAAACTTTTTCATATCTCAGCCAGCTCTGTTTGGTACCTGGGATGGAGTTTTCACTTCTTGTCTCATTAACATTTTTGGCGTCATAGTTTTTCTACGGTCCGGCTGGATTGTTGGAGAAGCTGGTGCACTGAATGCCGTGTTCATAATACTTTGTACAGGTAAGAAATTGAAAGATCAATAATTGTATTAATTATGAAGTATTTTAATAAAAATCTTTTTCTTTCAAGTATGCGTTGCATTGGTGACAGTACTTTCGGCAGTTGGAATTTGTGAGAGATGTAGAGTAGAAAGTGGTGGTGTGTATTTTTTACTGTCACATGTACTGGGCTCGAGGTTTGGAGGGTCGATTGGTTTACTGTATTGTTTTGGCCAGGTATGAAAAATTCCACTGTCTTTCATAATTGTCTTTACGATTTGCATATGTTTTGCATACAAACACCAAAATATTTTACTCTAGGCTGTGGGCTGTGCCCTAAACGTCTTGGGTTTTGGAGAATCTATGGCTAGACTGGTTGGTCTTACATCCCCTTGGGGACAACGAGGCTTCGCTTGCGCGGCAGTGATACTTTTATCCGTAATAAATGTGGCAGGTGTGAAATGGGTTATCAAGCTTCAGTTTATGCTTTTGTTGATCCTGCTGTTTGCTGGGCTTGATTTCATCATCGGAAGTTTTACGCATAAGGATCTAAGTATGTGTAAATCTTGATGAAAAAAAAATCTTTTTCAAATACAAAAAAATTGAATGTTCATAAGCAATATTTGCGATCAACAGCGGCTGGCTTTCTCGGGTGGTCGACGGAAAATCTGATGAACAATATGCTTCCATCGGAGGAGAATGGTTCCAGCTGGTTCACCGTATTCGGAGTTTTCTTTCCCACCGTGACTGGCGTCCTCGCCGGTATAAACATGAGCGGTGATCTCAGGCATCCGTCCACCGACATACCCAATGGTACACTGGCTGCACTTGGTCTGAGGCAAGTACAACTTTTGCATTTTAATCTCGAATTTGCATCTCTTGAGTACAATACGGCTATAAATCTTTATTTTTATATTATTTTATTTTATTTTTCTTTGCAGCACTGTTTTGTATCTCTGTTTCTCGCTGTTTCTCGCTGCGACGTGCACGCGAGAAGTACTACTTCATAATTACAACATCGCCTCGACTGTCTCCGCAATATCCGTTCTCTTGCTAGCCGGGCTTTATGTTTCGTCATTTAGCAGCTGCCTGGGTGCAATGTACGGGACGCCTCGCGTTCTCCAATCAATCGCCAGCCAGAACGTCATTCCTGGAATTAGCTGCTTACAAAGAGGCGTACGTCGTACTTGAGTATAAAATTATTACTTTTACCACGATGATTTAGTTGAACATTTATTTTAAGCTATCGCATCTGTATGTGTTACCTAACATTATTTGTACTTCTCAAATATGATATTTAATCATTGCAGAGGGGACCAAATAAAGTGCCGCTATACGCAATGCTGGTCGTAGCCATTGTGACATTATCATTCATCATGGTAGGACAAATTAATACTCTCGCACCGATAGTCACGATGTCGTTTTTACTTACGTACGCATGCATGGATTTTGCGTATTTCGCTCTTGCTCAAACATTCGATTTGAGACACTCGCGTGAACAGAGGTTTTCCGTGCAATCGCCTTCTGCCGACAGGAGTTACGGTACTTCGGACAGAAACGTCCTTGTCGAGGCTGAAAATGATCTCGATAGTCTCTTCCCTGAGAGAACAAGGCACAAAAATCTTGTGGTAAGTGCGTGTTTGAATGTGTAGATAATGCAATTTTAAAACTTCAATGCGTTTTGCAGAGAAATGCAAGTATCGATAGTAATGGTATCATAGATTCATCCCCGAGTGTGGAAGACAATAACAGCGTGACCAGTGAAATACAAAAAAAAGTACACATTCACGGAAAATTAGGCAATTGGTACAGTCCGTTTTGCAACAGATGGTTTTCCCTCTTTGGCGTTAGTATAATTTTGCATCACATTTGTCGCTTTTGCAATAAAACAAAAGAAATTTATAATAATAATTTTTCCATTTAACAGGCTGTCGTTAAAATAATAATTATGTTCTTGGTCCATTGGGGCTACGCGCTGACAAATATAATCGTCTGTTTTCTCATTTGGAGTTATATTGGCCATGCGAATCCTGCCGTGAAGCCCGGTGTCTCGGCAGAATTCAAGTTTTTCCTCTGGTTGAAAAATGCTCTTCTCAGGATAATGGGGTAATCACATATCATCTTGTGTATATCAGGACTTTTTTTTTTTTTTTTTTTTTTCATGGAAAATAACCGAAAATAAAAAAATTATTCTAGGAGAACTGTGTACGATTACGAGCAAATCGTGGTAACGCCGGTTCATCCTGGCGTGGAGACGAGCTCAGCACAGCTTAACGAAGAGAACGAAGACTTTGCCGGAAGACGACGATATCATCAGGTAGCCAACGTCACGGGTCAATATGTCGCCGTTGAGTAAATTGTCTTCTGACCCGATTAGATTCCAAGGCTTTCTGGCAATTAATAGCATGCGTATTTTTCAATTGTCAACTGAGGATTTTCACAGTACAGATAAGTAGTGAGATTAAATATTTGAATGGTCAAAAGATCAATGTATTCATCAGGATTGTGTGAATTGTAAAAGGGAAAGGGAAGTCACTGCAAAGGTAAGCGTTATTTTGTGATTCTTATTTCCTCGAGAAATGACACGATTACCGAGAATCACGCACACGCGAAGCATGAAAGAGAATCCCCCCCTTGTCCTTGAGATATACAACAGTGTTAACATACGTGCATAACTTTTAACCAAAGAATACATGGGTCCACTTGATGCGTATGCTCTCACGGCTTGATTAACTTAACAGTACTATTGACGAGATTATTTATTTATTTATTTATTTATAACGATGTATGCAAGAGGAGAAAAAAAAACAACTATATCAATCAATGTATACTCTACCCGTGAGTTTTTGACATCTGTAATAAAATATTCTGTATTATCATCGAGCATAATAATGTATGTACTATAACACTCTGTTTTTAACAGAAACTCTACAAAAGAGAGACCTATTTCGCGAGTGATGTGAGTGTTTTTTACTATTTTTTTTTTATTCATGTTTTAATGAGAGAGAATATTTGTTTAAATTAATGCAATAACAAACGTGTGGGTGAATAATTTTTCTATTGATAACACTTTGGCTAACAATAAACAATAGTTACAGTACGAAATAAAAAAAATATTTTATAAACTTGAAAATGGTCTTGTGATTTTCAAATACTGATTAAAAATAATTAAAAATTACAGTAGTGTAAAAAAAATATACTTTTCCTACCTCGGGCGTTTTTGAGAGGCTTGAGTGCCCTCGGTAGAAAAAATAGGATTCGCCATCCTACCGTGGCTATCTTACGTCCCGCAAAATAGCCCTGGAGGCGATGGTACTTATCTGACGAAAACTACCATTTCGTTGTTATAAACTAGTCGACTAACGTATACGTATGTTTTCAGTGATTCCCCCTTTCGTATCTTCGTGTGTCACAACCGAACCGATTTATTAAAAAAAAAAAAAAAAAAAAAAAAAAAAAAAAAAACTATATCGATGATATACTGTTCGTATTCTCAACTTCTTAGTCAACCAGCTCAGTTGAAATCATCGAAAGGCGATCAAACATCGTCCCTATCGAAAGGAGAGCCAATCTTCCTTAGCCGCCCGAGAAGTTCGGGTTTGGTGACGAGCGCCTGGTGCAGACCATCGACGAGGGCGCGCTCCTGGTCGAAAGCCGGCAACGGCATACCCACGAGCCCGTAAACGTAAACCTCGCCGTATTCGTCCGCCGCGACGATCTGCTCGCCACTGCGTGTAAACTCGAGTCTCGTGAGTCTCACGCCTTCGGGTGCTACTTTCGTCACTGACGCCGGTCGATGGGTCTTACGCCTGATGTCCCAAATGCAGATCTAAACAACACTCACTAGTCACTGTTTCGATCCACCGCATCGTTGGAAAATAGAAAAAAAAAAAACAATACTCCCACCTCGTTGGCCACGGCGCTGGCAAGTATCGTGGAGCTTCTGGGCGACCAAGTGGCATCAGCGACACAAAGCATCCGCGTGCCGTACGTGAGAAGCGGCTCCTCGAGACCCTCGGCCCAGACACGGGTGGTCCAGTCGGCGCCACAGCTCAGCAGAAGCTTCGGGCAGAAGGGCGAGTACTCAAGGGTGTAGATCGGCCCATCGTGAGCTAGAAAAGCCTCCAAGTGACTGCGCGGCTGATCCGTCGAGCACCGAAAGACACAGCCCTCCTCAGAGCCCACGAGGTAGATGCCACGTTGTTTCGGGTGCCGGCACAGCGCCAGAGCCGCTGGGCTACGGCTGATCGGCACGTCTCGACTCAGACAGTAGTTCGCTCGGTGGATCCCAGGGATCTTACCTGCAGGTGTCGACCTCGCCGATGTGTAACTAATTGTATGAGTACTTGGGGTTAAAGAGCAGATGAATCAAATACCTTCGATACGCTGGAGGTGAAGGATCTCGCGCGGGTCGAACTCCCCTTCGTCCGGGAAGAAACAGACTCGACCGTCTTGGTTGCTCGTGTAGAGCCGCTCGCAGGAGTTCCGATAACTCGCTAGCTCGCCGCTCACCGGCCACCATTGGACCTTTTGGGGGGGAAACAATATCTTAACGTCAACCTTGCTGGGGGTCGAAAAAAAAAAATCAGTACAACCTGCCAGTGCGGCTCGTAGGACGGCGAAGTCTGCCTCTTGGACTCTCGAACGACGGTCAACTGCTTCGTACCTACGTCGATCACGCGAACGTGGCCGTCGTAAAATCCCACGGCCAGAAGGTTCGGCGAGCTCGTGCTCCAGTCCAGATCGCTGACCGGACTCTCGAAACGGAAGCTGCGATCAGGCTCGGTGGGATTTTTTCCGCACCAAACCATCACTAGTCCATATTGCGATGCTAGAGCTCCCTCGTCAGTTTTTTTCCGCTAAAAACAAACAAACCGTTTCTTATTGTTTTGTTTTCTTCCAGCTGCGTGTATATACCTTCTTTGGATCGGCGACGGCCCCGTAGCCAACAGCGAGGAGGCTCCGATTGGCCGGGTTCCAGCGAAAAGCCGACACAGGTCGCGCCCTTGTCTCCGGAGTCGAGTGGCGCCACAGCAGCTCGAGCCCGTAGACCAGCTCGAGATTCTCGTCGCAGGGGTCCTGGCGTATCAGGCCCGAGAAGCGCTTTTGCGCCAACTCAAAGTCCTTGCTCGCCAATATGCGCAGCATCACCCGAGCTGCGTCCTCGTACGCCGGCCTCGAGCCAATTGCCTCCAGCTGATCGGCCGGCTCGTGGGCGACGTTGTTACCCTCGTCGGGTTGATCGACCCTTGGGAATTTAAAGTTGTTCTCCTGGAAAATATCGTTTCTCTTCAGGTGTACCGACATTTACGCAAGCGTGTACAACATCCTCGTACCAGCACATACTTCATCCGGGGCTTCCCTCTCGACAAGAGCAAGCTCGGCCTCCCTCCGGTACGCATCGTGCATCACCCAGTTGTTGACGAATGTCGCGCGGTTTTTGCGCTCCAGCCTCTCGACGAGGGTCCCACGAGTCTTGGTGTACAGCTGCGGGGTCTGAGTCTCGGAGGCGACAGTCTTGCGCCCGGCGCCCGCCCTGATCCGCGAGTACTGCTCGTTCTCCTCGACCACCGCTTGGCCCGCCTCCGTCGTCGCGTCCTCCGTCAACTGGGGCATCTCGAAGAGGAAGAACGTGTCCGTCTCCCGCAGCGTGAGCGTCACTAGGTCGCTCAACGACTGGAACTCCCGCGAGTCGGACCTACGCACCGATCATCGGGATGACTGTCGCCGTATACCGATCTGGGTGGAAAAAATGCTACCTGGGCAGGCGGTACTGCGAGGGCGCATCGTCGTCGACCTCGGGAATCCCAGGGTAGAGTAGGGGAACGGGTTTGCTCGAGCTCCCAAGCCTGTCCGACGTGCCGAGCGACTGCAAGACCTCGTCCAGCGTGTAGACGGACGAGAAGGAGGAGGTGGAACAGGTGGCCATCGGCTGGGAAGAGGTCTTCTGGCAGGGAGCGCTGACGAGGCTAGTGGCGCGCGAGCTGCCCAGGTTTGTCTGGTCGAAGGCGGTGCGCCGATCGTACACCGGCCCGTAAACCGGATGGACGAGGTTCCGCGGCGTCACGTCCTCCCCGGACTCGTAGATGCGCAACCGCTCGCGTCTCTGCAGAACCGTCGTCGGGGCCGCTATTTGCTGCTGGTGCTGTTTTGAAAACGCGTGTTATTAACGACCGATGATTAGAGCACGTGGGTCAAGGGGTGGTCTCTGACCTGTTGTTGCTTGGAGACACTTCGCGATAATGGGACGCGACTAGTTCGAGATCGAAACGCCGTCGACGCGCTGGGGGCCCTGCGCCAGGTCGAGGTCAGGCTGGGCGCGCGAGATCTCCCTAAAGGATCCTTGGTGCCGCTCATTGTCCTTGTATTGTACCGGGTCGGTTGGCCGTGTCGCGAGAAATGTCGTTATGCTGTCGTTTTATTTTACATCCACATTATAAAATGTACGTATACATGGCGCGAGCGGATTGATCGGTGAACGAGTGATGTTTGGAAAAGTAAAGTGCGCGGCTGTACCGAAATTCAAATGACCAACCGATCATTAGTCACCTTGATTTAGTCGTGAATAAACATGGAGGAGGGGAATCACCGTTGTCACTGCAAGGCTATTCGCATCCGTACTCTTGTATTTTTGGTGTTGCATTTTTTGCCGATGGGCAGTCGGTCAAATCGGTTGATGAGCAATGATTAAGAATTTAAGCACTGATGTTGCATGTATAAATATATTACAATATACGGGTGGTGGTGATCAACATACCGGGGCACAAGCGTTTTTGTAATATTCTAAAAACTCGTTGCACTTTTTTTTTTTTTTTTTTTTTTTTTTTTTATCATCGCGTGAGTTGTTGACTCGTGCAAAAATATATACTTGTGGCGGTGTACGTACACTACGGCTGTTGTGATTGATGGTTGATTATTGTTTATCTATACGAGGACAAGAATATACTTACATGGGTATCGAAATATCACCGTACGTTGTTGACGCTACCAAGGAAACACGATGTAATATATGTATAATATTATATGTATGCACATGATGGTAGATATCGAGACACATTCTTTCCAAATTTATCGATGGTGCCGTAGTGGTTTATTAAAAAATCGTTAATTTGGTGTTGTTTTTTTTTGTTTTTTTAATGCGTATACGTTGCAACGAAAATATAAACAACGTAAAAGTGTATACAACCGGGCCTGTTAAAAATAGCCAAACGAAACAAATAATGCGCGATCGAAAACCGGCCGAGTGTGGAGTGTGTTAAAAATAAATGTGTATAGACCGGAGAGAAAAATTAAAATTCATTTATGAATGCAAATGAGATAATACGTGCAGGTTAAAGCTGTTTCGTCGAAGCTACAAAAATTTCCTGGTAGTAAAGTTGATGAAAAATGGAGTACTCAATAAATATACACTGCTTTCTCCTCCTCTTTAGCATATATTACGTTACGCACACAGGTTTGCAAGTCATGGTAATCATAAATAAAGCCTACATATGATATTAATAAATACATACATAATACACTTATCAGTGTGTAGCCTTGTTGTGTATACGCATACAATGAACGAGTTTATTAGCGTAAATTAATCGGCAAAATAGAGTCAACGAGCGCAACTCTGTATTGATTAATGATGCACCGTGGAGTAGTGCGCGAGCGAGACTTTTTTCCTTTTTTATTCGTGCAATCGGAGGAGACATAAAAAAAAATAATAATAATAATAATAATAAGTAAAAGTAGAGATAAAACTCATGCGCGTAGTTAATTTTTTTTCTTCAAAAGAATAGAGATCGTTGGATTTTCGGAGAGACGATCGCCGCTTCGTTCGAGTTGTGTGTTAAATATACCCAATGGAAAAAAATATGCATTTTAAAGCTATTAACGGAAAGTTTGCTCTGGCAGTTTTTTTTTTTTTTTTATTTAACATGTAAGTACTAAAGTCTAACAAGAAACAAAGAGTACACAAGCACCAAACGAAAATTCAAATTTTCGCGCCACTTGCGTTAACCAATCGCGTATTTCGAGTTGAGACCCAACTTAACCTCTTTTCTCTTTGCCCCCCTCCTTGACTCCGATTTCAGAGAAGTTGTCGAGAAAAAACAAACACAAACGTCGTCTGTTCTGTCGTTTTGGAGCTCGATGATCATCAGAATTAGAATGTCTGCTACCTTTAAAGAAGAAAAGGCGAAAAATTTACATTAACACACGTATAACATTTTATAATTGGAGTTAGTGCAAGTGCAACCATACGCATACACGTAAGCATCATATACATAATTCTTAAAAAGGTACACATCAGCTTTTCCGGTTTTCCATCTCTTTTCCGTGTCAACCCCGTCATCGAAATCGAAGCGCCTGCGTTCTCGTGTGCGTCAAATATCACTTACGTGGTGTTACTCGCTCTGCTTCACGATCATTGCAACTTGTCGTAAACGCAGTAAGTAGTTGTTCGTGTACCTTCGAGAGAGAGTTAAAAAAAAGTGTCAGATACGTGCAAAAGTGAACGCACGAGATCAGGTTCCTATTTTAGTAGTCACCATAAAATCATGATAATCGAGCTGCGCCTGTTTCGCTGATACGTGGATTTTCGTAATTCTGCATTTTTATAAGTACTTACTACTTTTTGTTGTATTTTTATTTTGCTCTTCTATACGCCTGTGTATACATCCTGAAAGAGATTTTTTTTACCTTACGTACATACGTGTGTGTACACTTGGTGTAGGCGTGCATATGTGCAGTGTTATAATTTGCAATACGTGGAAGAAGTACTTACTTGATAAAAAGACGAGTAAGAAAAGGGGAAAAAATAAGCTTACATATACCTACAGGAACGTCAGCAGTCACACCACAGCATTGCATATATTTATCTGATTTTACCTGCTTGTCAACAAGGTAATTATAATTATCATTATGTTTAGAGAATTAAAGAAGGGGTGGATCAATACATCTTTGAGAATAGAGAAAACAGCCTTAAAGTTTTCGTGAACGTGCCTTTCCCTCTAATGTACTTACTTATGACGTGTTCAAAATTGAACAGTATTACTAATTTTTAGTGGCTATTAGTGTCATGAGTTGATAAGGGGCAAGTTAATCACTGTTATAATTTCAAACAGGGTCGAGAAGGTGGAAAACAGGGACGGATACTGCAGTTGATTAGGGATAAAAAAAAAGGAAGCTGTGTGCAGTTCATCTTTCGTCTATATACTTCATAAAAAAAATGTTGTGTGTATTGCATGATACACTTGTACATACAACGACAAAGAATTAAATAATTATTGGCATCTTCATCGAATCGTTCAGAATCATAACACACCCATACAGACGCGTTGGGCCGTAGGCGCGTGACACTAAACTAACTTGTTACAAAAGTAGTAAAGTTATCTTCCGATTCTCCCCTCGTCGCACGTTTTTGTATATTTTTTATTCATCATTTCGTACGTTTAACATCCGACGTTATACACGCAAAACAAAGAGCTTAAAAAGCTCTAATGAAGCTCCGTCTTTTCCGTCGGATTTTCGTGACGGTAAGAGGATTTTCGAAGCTTCTCACCTATTTACAATACATATGTAGCTCGAAGCTGACGTATGTATATACGAGTGTATACGTATATATGAATACATTTTGTATAAACTTAACATATACAGGTATATAGGCAAAAGGTTATAGTTGACCTTGCTCTCTTGCACACACTCCCTCTCTTTCCCCCTTTTAGATGTATCTTAAATCTTCCTCTCCTTTTTATCATGTTCTTTCTTTTTTTCGCGGATTCAGGCGTTAATTTCATGGTTGAAATATATATTATACGTATATATTTCACTTCCCGTCAAACGCACATCCGTCACGACAATTAATTTGATTCTTTCGCGCTTCTCCGTACACCCATATTTTATTTGATTCCGCGCTCTCTCTCCCTCGAATCGAGCACCAACTTTCCTCTCTCTCTACTTACCATCTCATCTCCTGCCCGCAACACGATACCCCGCGTAGTACCTATGTATAGTAATAAGTAATCGGTGGTATGCCGCAATTATATTATCGGTCTCGGTTTAACTGGTTTTCCGGCTTTTACACGATTCCTTGGTTTCTCTCGAAGCTTCCCAGAAAGCGCGTATACTTACTTATATATACTCTTGGTTTATTTGTCAACTATACAATCAACTCTCATAATTTGAGATTTGCAAATTCATTGTGCTTATAAAATATGTATGATATATTTAGACGATCGTCGTAATCGGTATTTGTACGTATGAGTGTATACGTTTATGACATGTTTTGTGTTTTGCTTTTGCAGAGAGACGTACACCGAGAGTGTTGTACTTATAGCTCATCCACAAGATGGTGACGACGGAGAAGCAGCAGCAACAACAGCAGCCCGGGCCGTCGAAGCCGTCGGGCTCGACGAGCGAAGAAAAGGAGCGCGATGACCGCATGTTCGAGTGCAACATTTGCCTGGACACGGCTAAGGATGCCGTCGTCAGTATGTGCGGACACTTGTTTTGGTGAGTCTCAATCATGCGGTGGACTTTTTAAAATATTTATTTATTTTTCGCCAAGTGCTCTCCTTGCATTAATTATTATAAAAACGCAGCAGTGCCCTCATCGGTTATCTACTTATCGTCGTCGTTTTGACGTATAAGAGCAATAATAATGATCGGAGGCGTGCTTTTGCGTGTTCGAATCCTAATGTATACGATTATAAGTGGATTCGCCAGCTTCGAGCTTATAACGAGCTACTTTGATTTTGCACGTCAATGAATATACGTATATGTCATATTACAAGCAGCGTGAGGGGGCTGTTGTTGTGTCATTTCTTGTTATGTCTGATGTATTTGGAGTCACGGTTTCATGTTTGAATATTTTTTTAATTTCCAAGCAACATATTGCGTTTTGGTTTAATTCTTTTCTTGTTGCAAACAATCTTCCGTCATTTTTTTTGGCGATTTATCGTATACATAGTTAACGCAATTAACTGATCGGTCATTGTGTCGTTTACAATATTACTACTTTTTGAAAGCAGTACTTAGTTTATGCCTTTTTACAGTTGGCCCTGTTTACATCAATGGCTAGAAACTCGTCCTACCAGACAAGTCTGTCCTGTCTGTAAAGCTGCAATAAGTAAAGAAAAAGTAATTCCGCTTTATGGACGAGGAAATACAAAACAAGAAGATCCAAGGTTTGTATTCTCATTTTACTAAACGAATTGTTTTCAATTATTTATTATTTTTTTTTTTTTCGAACCTTAATTTTTCTTTACTATGTTTACTTTTTCATTTGTTCAACATAGGAATAACGTTCCACCGCGCCCTGCTGGTCAGAGGTCAGAGCCTGAAGCTAATGTAGGTTTTCCTGGTTTCGGTTTCGCGGACGGCAGTTTTCACATGTCATTTGGCATTGGAGCATTTCCTTTTGGTTTCTTCACCTCGACCTTAAACTTTGGTGACCCGCGGCCAGCTACAGGTAATCACCCAACACTTGTTTTACAAGACAAAAAATATAAATAAATTTACGTGCCACGCTAAACAATAATATCGTGTGATAATTAAAAGATCATGTTGCAGCGCCACGCGGTAGTCCTCAGTTTGAAGAAGACACTTTCCTGTCAAAATTGTTTTTATGGCTGGCGATCGCTTTCATCATTTGGCTTCTCCTGGCATAACGTTATTCCCGAAACATGGCATCACCTGGACGTAAGTCCAATCATCTACTTCGTATACTAAACGCATCGATTTTTCCCTGTATACTGTCAAGATGAAACTTTTGCAATAGTGAAAATTAATAAGTTTTACGTGGTGTTAAATGAGAATTGTGTTTTATCTCTTCAACGAGACCCTCTTTTTTTGATCTTTCAAAGCAGATACAAATATTTGTGTATTGCATCAATGCTCGTTGTTGCATCTCAACTTGTTGATGAGTGAAAGATTCAATGTAAGGAGTGAGTGCTCTCATTGTTGACTAATATTTTTTCGAGATAACTCAAAATATTTCAAATAGCGTGAAATTTTTGTAGACGAGCGTTTTCCCTTTTTTCCTAAAATAACTCTGTATAAATTAAGAGTAAGGTTTGACTATATTATTTGACCATAATCTGTCGGTTTTTATGTCATCTGCGAAAATTTATGAAGGGGCCTGGTTTCGGAGGTGCTGTTGATAATTATTTACTTGTGTATATATATAAATATCTTTAGCTGCATAAAGTATTCGTCTATTATATTGGAAGTCTAGATTTACATACTTTTAAATATTATTCTTAATGATAAAGCCATGTTCAGTTATTGACACACACTGCACAGCCTTTAGAGTGTAAATATAATTTATCTTTAAGCTATCATGTCTTGAGCAAAGGTCTCTATTGTTTTTCTACGTGTATTTTACACGCTCGCGTAAGTTCATTTTTGCTAAAAGCTTTAAAATAGGATTTTAATTATGAAAAAATCATTTTTTTTTTTTTTTTTTTTTTAAGGTTATGCATAGGAAACGTAAAGTTGACACTTGTGATTTTATTAGCGCGTATGTGACAGCATTCATTTACACTTTTGAATGATTGTGGCACATGCTTGTTTGATTACCTAATCTAATTTATCACATTCCGTGCTTGCTCGTAAAGAGTGTTACACATAAATTTTAGTTAACATACATCGATTTTCCTTCTTTTTTATTACAGACAATCAATTAAATGATTGTACTTGAAAGTATGGCTTTTCAAAATACAAAACTAAGACTGCAGCTTTCAGATTAATAACTGTTAGCAATGTATTCGGGAGTAAAATGTAAAACAATCAATAACGCAATTATTTACGAATACATGGCATTTAACAGTACATAAAAGCATCTTACATGATTTTCTGCAATTTTATCTTTCCACGTTTTCTTACTAACAACAAATTATTGAAAAAGTTGTAAAAACAACATTTATAATTTTAGTGGTGCATATATAGTTGTTAAATTATGGCAAATTTAGAAAATTACCCTAAAAAGGTTTCGTTCTCATTCTCTACAAATAATTTCACGCGTCTCAATTTGTATTAAACATTTTATGATTATGTTTATCATTGTAAAATTCTTTATTTTATTGTTAATCTTAGAGTGCATTTTATATAAACTTGTAAAATATAAGATCATGTAAAATAAATATAAATATGATGACATACTTTAAAAAAAGTTTACTAAACTATACAATCATCCTTGTAAGTTAGAAGAAAGTCAACCAACTATAGCTGTTACTCTCATGAAATTTTTTTCATTTAAAGTTTTACAATGTAAATGAATTTTCAAATGTTGTGCACTATAATCTATACTTCTATTTACAGTGTATGCATATTCCACACAAGTAACGATTAGGTGGAGAAACTAGAGACACTTAATATAATATTTTTTATAATTATGTGATTAATAATTGCATCAAAAAAGTATTTTTAAGGCTAGCCTTTCTCTGGTAGAAAAACAAGATTTTAACAGAAAAAAGCTATCAGTTTTTTAAAACCTCGTTTGCAAGAAAAATTCTCGAGCCACACCGTAAAGCTGGAGCAGCACTCGACTATATGAGTAGTATACTTTTAGAAAATTTTCGGGGACAAAGGCGTATTATCAGATGATTACGGTGAATGTGGTAAAAATCGCAAAGTACAATAATTATTATGCAGTAAAACTGCTGGTCTAAATCTTTTGCCAGTTAATGGTCGTTTTTCGTCCATCTCTCGGCTGATTGTTGTAACGTGCAGAATGGACTCTTTCCTATAGGATAATTTATCCAAATTATAATTTTGTATAGGAGTTTGTAGTAAATGAGCACGCTCTTTTCGTCCCACTTCACGAACAGTACTTTCATACAGTCAATGTTTTTCATAAGGCATATCTACAACTGGTCATAACTGATATTTTTAATGAATCTATTTCTCATCTCCTCTGTCCCATCCCCTTTTTTTCATTGTAACGCCGAGAACTTTTATTTTGCACATCTCCGATATTTTTGGAGCATAATAAAATACCTTTGAGAAACGTATTCTTTACAGCTTATTGAGCCTTTGAATTAATAAATAACACCAAGAAATGAAGCAGCCCTTACTTTTGCAAATTTATTAATTAAGAGATATACACTTCGTATTAATATTAAATATTAATTTTTTACACTCTACTATAACTGATGAATTTCTTCATAAACGTTTAGAGAGAAATTTTGTTCATTGGATTAAAATTTGATTGAACATTGTGTGAAAGTATAATACCCAAAAATTACGGCACACATGCGCTGTGATATGACAACTTTGTCGTCATTAATTTGTCATTGTCATTTTACACACACGCACTCACATACACAATTTATGGTTACCAAGTATACAGTGTATTTTATCACAGTTTGCAACTCTGACAGGAGCCTGAACTCCCCTTGTCTACAGTATTGTTATTCAATAAAAATCAATCCAAAAAAAACGTGCTATACAAATAAAATAAATTTTAACAACAAACTGTGCTTATCTTAAGGCTTAGTTTTATTTATTTATTATTTTTGTGTAAATGGTTACTTACGTGTCTTGTAACAGGTGTGATTTTTTGTATAAAAACTTGGGTGCTTCGCATTTTATATTGAGCGTGCGAGAGGAATTATTTTGTGAATCGACCCCTTGGGCAATCAACTAAAGTGTAAATTGATAAAACAAAATTGTGTTATTATCCTTATAAATCCTCTTTGTCGTGCGTCTTCTTAAATCCTTTGGATACAAGGAGATCGTTGAGCTCGTCGCGAATTAGTTTTGCCAGTTTCAGTCGTTCTACTTCCTGCGAGATATTCGTTTAATCAATATTTCGTACTGTTACGCTATTGCAGGTGTCAATTACGTGAATAATTGTTCAAATGAAAAAAACGAAAATACTAATCATGCACTGATTGTTTTGAGCTTTTAACGCGTCAATTAGATGATTTTTCATTTTGGGAGTAAAGGTAATTTTTGAGTCTATATGTTACGGATTGTATAATCAATTACACACCTGTTCCTGGTCATTATACAGCACCAATTCTGGAGGTGCTCCTTGAATGTGTTTGAACTCGACGTTGTTGCTCAAATAATTCATCTAAGGAAAAAATGAAAACTTCTTCGCCTTAATAACAAACATATGCTGATTTGATTTAAAAATTTCAGATGAAAAAAAAAGGATACTATTTAGGAACGTCCTCGAAAATAAAACTCTTCACGTCGGGTAATCGGTTCAGCTGGCATCCCTTGCAGCTCTGAAAAAAAAAATAATAAAATTACAATCATTCAAGATTATATCGGCACAGAAGATTATGGAAAAAAAAGCTTTGAGCTTTTTACACAAATAACTTGAACATGTGCAATACGTCAGATACTATAGTTCAAACTACAGTACCATGAATTGTTGTAATTACATGCTTATTATGCGTGTGTAATGTTGATATAACATGACGTGGTCGGAAGCAATTTAATATCAGCAGTGTATTATTACAAAGTTTAGGTAGGAATTTCTCGCGCAAAAAAAATATAAATGTAACTGATAAGTATGTAAAATGTTTGTGGTATGCGTGGTATACCTCGACAACAGCGTGGGAGTAGCTTTCCGATGCAAATGCTTTTGTGCAGAAGATCGACAGGACGAGCATGACAATCCCGACTCTGAATGAGACCATTTTTTTGTCTCTCCGTTATTCGCGTGTATTTATTCTTCGATATCACTAAGCTGCAAGTATACTGTAAAAAAAAAAAAAGAAAACAAAATAACAAATAAATTCATAACCAATAGAAAACCGATGGCTACGTACTCAACTTACCGCAGACTCCGAAAGTCCGAACACTTTACAGCCCTCCGTCACTTTCTTTCTCTCTTATCGTTGTGCGTAAAATAAAAGAGAAACTGCCTGTTTATAAAAGCTGACGTTGCTGTCGTTGTCAATCCATCTGACAACTGACAACTTGACAAGTGAAAATGTTATATGTGCCTACTTATACACCAACGTAAGCAAGCAAAAAGTGCAGGACAGTGTGTTCCAAGTTGTTATGGTTGCTATAACGGGGGGGGGGGAGGGTCCGGCTGCGGGTCTTCTCTCTCTCTCTCTCTCTCTTGCAGTACTGATACTTCTATATACACAAAGAATACACTGAGTGGGTGGCGATTCACGATAAAGTCTTGCTATGCAACAGTACAAGGGGCAGATAACATATTTTTTCCCTCAATGATCGATAAGAGGCGAAAGCTGTCTTTTCTTTTTTTGGAACCTAATAAGTATATATTTTAACACGTACATGTTTGCATTTGCAGTTGTACACAAATACCGATTTTTCTTTTAAATTGTCGTTTCAATATGTATCCGAATTCGTCATACAGTTTTTGCACATATTTATAGTAGACGCATACGAAAAATCTTATTTTACGTGCTGATTATTTTGTTGCAAAACAATGCAATCGTACACAAAATTTTTTTTTTTTTTTTTTTTTTTTTTTTTAAGGTTATGCATAGGAAACGTAAAGTTGACACTTGTGATTTTATTAGCGCGTATGTGACAGCATTCATTTACACTTTTGAATGATTGTGGCACATGCTTGTTTGATTACCTAATCTAATTTATCACATTCCGTGCTTGCTCGTAAAGAGTGTTACACATAAATTTTAGTTAACATACATCGATTTTCCTTCTTTTTTATTACAGACAATCAATTAAATGATTGTACTTGAAAGTATGGCTTTTCAAAATACAAAACTAAGACTGCAGCTTTCAGATTAATAACTGTTAGCAATGTATTCGGGAGTAAAATGTAAAACAATCAATAACGCAATTATTTACGAATACATGGCATTTAACAGTACATAAAAGCATCTTACATGATTTTCTGCAATTTTATCTTTCCACGTTTTCTTACTAACAACAAATTATTGAAAAAGTTGTAAAAACAACATTTATAATTTTAGTGGTGCATATATAGTTGTTAAATTATGGCAAATTTAGAAAATTACCCTAAAAAGGTTTCGTTCTCATTCTCTACAAATAATTTCACGCGTCTCAATTTGTATTAAACATTTTATGATTATGTTTATCATTGTAAAATTCTTTATTTTATTGTTAATCTTAGAGTGCATTTTATATAAACTTGTAAAATATAAGATCATGTAAAATAAATATANGACCTGCTAACTGTACCCTTGTTTTAAAAGTCTTGGGGCAATAAGGACAGGTGTAAGCGCGCTTGTCGCCGTGAGTCAACAAATGGTGATTATATACCGATGAGGCTTTGAAACGTTTGCCACAGTGCTGGCATTGGTAAGGCCGTACTCCCGTGTGCGTTCGCATGTGCAGCGTTAGACAATAAGAGACTCTGAATTTTTTGCCACAAACCTGTCGAGAAAATTTTTTATCAGTGAACTGCAAAAATCTTAAACAGTTGGAAACAATTGATGAAAAATACCTCGCAGACGTGAGGTTTCTCGCCAGTGTGTATCCTCTCGTGCTTAACTTTCTCATGTGGTCTGCTGAATCGACGGCCGCAATGTTGACACATGTACGGCTTCTCCTTAGAGGCCTCAGCATCATCGGCAGCTACTGCGGCTTCGACTACTGCAGCTATGGTTGGACCGCTGACAAGGGGTCCACTGACACCTGCATTCGCAAGAATCGGATCAATGGAATTTTTAGTAGCAGCGTTGAAAAGCTCTGTCGCTATCGTGGTTGTAGAGATTGCCTGAGCAGAAGTGGATTCGACATGTACAGCCGCGTGCATCACTAAACTTTCTGGCGAATCAAACTTGCGATTGCATATGGTACATGTAACCGAAATACCATCGTGCAAGGCCATATGAGCTGTTCTGTAAGATACAGAGAGCGTCGCATCTGAAAAATAACCCACATGTTAGAACTTGAATAGCTTGTAAATGTAAAAATATGGATTTTAACAGATGGACCCAATCTTACCGCACTCATCGCATTTGAATGTATCCTCGTCTGTGCCTTCAGGTGCGTCAACGTGACGTGATTTGACGGGATCGTGCATTCGTGAATGTAATCTAAGACTCTTATGTGTGGTAAATTCGGTACCACAAATATTACACACAAAATTCATCTGAGAGTTCTGAGCAATGTCATTGTTGTCGTGCGTTTGAAGATGATTAAGCAACGCCTTTTGAGTAGCGAAAGTTTGGTCACAATGATCGCATTGATTTGTTCCTCGTAAACATATGTGAATTCGAAAATCGCTTAATTTTCGAAACTGCTCCAAACACTGGTTGCATCTGTACATTTTCGTGGGAGCAACCATCACGCTTTTGTCTTTTACCTAAAGTTTAATCAAACGAATCATGATACTTGAAACAGCTATTTAAACAATTTCATTAACAAAACTTTTACCTTGACGCCTTCAACGTTGGAAAAAAATTTTTCAATCATGGGAGCTTTAGTTGTGGACAAAGTAATAGGTGTCCTGTCCCAAAATCTTTCAATTTTGACAACTTTTCTCGTATATCGTCTCCCATCTTTATCAATGCATTCTTCAGTTTTTAAAGTGTTTAAAGGTTGTTTTTGTGCCAGCTTTCTTTTGGCAGCTCTCGATGGTCTACTGGTAGCAATAGAAGATATAACAGGTGTATTTACAGTAGAAGTGACATTATCAGCTATTGTTGTGGTAGGTAGTATTATTTCATCTTGATCAGGTTTTACTTCTTCGTACTTTTGACCACCATGATATTTGTCCATATGATCCTCTGGGTCATAAAAACTCATACCACAGGTGTTGCAAATAAATAGTTTTTGCGGTTCCTATAAATTATAATTAAATAAAAATTTTAGTTATCAAATTTGTTAAACGGAAGAAAAAGAGATTTGTTTACTGAATCCTGTGATGTTCGGCTAAGTTCTTCTTTTACATCTGATAAACTGGAGCCTCCAAATTGCAATTGTATTTCACTATTTTCAGTAATATCTATGAGTGTACCATCATTTTCATTTAATAAATAAGAACTCGACTCATTCGATGAAATTCCGTCGTTGGAACTTACAACCTGTGACGTATTATTGGATTCAAAAATTTTTTTTTCTTTGGCCCTATTATTTTCATTTTCCTCACTTTTTATATTTTTTTCGTTTACCTTGTCCACCACTTGTATATCCCCTGAAAAAATTAATTGTTTATCAGCTAATTTTAATATAACTAATATTCATAAAAGTTACAATTATTAACCGTTTTCATCAACATGAATAGTCTTTCCCTCCACCATCATGAATCCTTCTGCATCAACAGTAGCTAAAAAACTTTCGTTAACTGCATCATTTTTTAAACTCTGAAACATCAACGGACAACGTTTAGAAATCTTCAAAATTTTCATACGTACTTTTAATCAATAAACAACCCAATACTCACATTGTCTAAGGTGGTACCCTGTGCTGCATTGTCATCGTTGTTGCGCTCCAAACCATTGGCATCCGGTTCTTTTGACTGCTGTTGCTCTTCTTGTTGTTGCTGTTGCTGCAGCAACTCTGCCACTTCTACTTCTTCTTTTCCACAAACATCCAGATGTTGAATCAGGGCAGTGATGGAGTCAATCCTCAACGAACAACCGGGACAGTACAGGTTGTCCGTCACGCTAAGTAGATGGTATTTAAGGGACTCTGAATTGTCAAAGGTCTCCCCACAGCACATAGGACATATTAGACTTAAGGACCCCATGATAGCTCAACCACTTTAGCAAAGCTCCAAAAAACAACAACACCCGATCATCATCCCCCAGTGTATCCGACAGAGACTCCCCCCGACGTCACCCGGAACTTGTGTTATACTTTTCATGTCAGCAGTCTAACCTGATGCAAGGAATCCATGGTCCGGGACTCAAGCTGTCAGTACGCCTCATCGTCGCCCGGGAAGCACTTATAACCTTTACGTCGAGGTATACGCAAGCAAATCCGGATCAAGATACCTATACGTTGTATTTTATCAGGATTTCAAATACTTAGTACTTGGTAAAATTGAAATTGAAATGATCCGCCAGTAGAATAAATAAAGAAAGAGAAGTCTTGTTGGAGACGAACTTCAGCGCAAACAAATGCCGTGAGAAATATACCTCGAGAGAGAAAGAGAGAGAAACAATCGTGAAGTTGCGAGCGGTAGCAGAAAATAAATATAAATGAACGGAGAAAAAATGGCGGCTCCATAAGGGTGGGAAATTGGGAATTGAATTAAATTCTATGCCATGTGTGAAAAAAATGCGTGCAGTTTGCGATTAAATTATTGAAAAAAAATGTACCTACACGTGTTGTTGGTCATGTCATATACTTGATATGAGAGAAAAGTGAGATTTTTATTCGGAAAAATCGCATTTTGGCTGGGAAAAAATTAAATTTTCATACGTGATCTTACTTTGATTTGCTAATCATTGCGCGATCACGCGATGTTATTTTGTTTTCTTTGAAATGTTTAAATTTAAATTTCGATGTATATAGTTTTATATATTTGACGAATTATGCGGCAAGTATATGTGATAAAAAAATTTTAGTAGCCAATTATTTTTAACAATGTTTTTACTTTAAGTAATATATTTCCATCAAAAACATGTAAATACCGACAAATCGTTCGCTGTTGCATTACGTTAAATTATATTTATTATTTACATGTACATGTATATGGTACAAACTGAATTTTTTCATATGGTTACATTTATTATAAATAAAATAAAAATAAATCATTTTAAATTACTTTTCTTAATGAAGCTATTCGTAGGATTATTATTCGTACTGAACCTGATTTTTTTCGACCGCACCGCCGATGAAAAGATGATCGGCACTGTGGCAGCAGCAGTTACCGCGACCGCGTTATTATTTATTATTCTTGTCCATTACTTAAATATGCCTTAAAAAGTGTTATTGTGTCGTTTATCGGCACTTCCTCGGTTATTTTTCCTGTTCCCCGGAACTCCTAAATACAAACCACGAGATCATTGCAGGAAGTTCGCGTCTCTGAGCGAACCGCACGTGTAACCGTAAGTCAGAGGATTGAGCGCCGCGTTGACAAAGATCAGGCAAAAAACACGTACTCAAATGATGCATTCTTATGGAAATCGGTGGGAATAAAAACACACGCATCACCCATATGTTATATATACATGTACCACAACTTGTAAACCGATTCGGCTGTCATTCATCATTATCTTTGCCCTTTGGATGAGCAAAATGATAAAAGCGGACATCCTGCAGCACGACCAACGTGTGAGGATGCGCGCCACTTTGCCCTTATATATTATTGTAATGCACCATGATCGGGTTTTTACTTTACTTAATCAGTTTAGTTAAAAGCACACTTGTATCTTGGTGTAAAAAATAGCCATCGCGGCAAGGGGTACGCAGACCAACTGTGATGAGCCAGTACGGAAAATCGATGATGATGGCGATCATTTGATATTCGCGCAAAAGCCCTCGAGGTAATCTTTCCAGTGTGTTCTCGTGGTAGCGACGAAAAAAAGCCAGCGGTTTAAGAATCCATCGAGTACCTGGTGGATATATAAGTAACTGTTTTCCGGTCCAGTTGGTGATGATGAAGTGCACGCGGGCAGAAGGGGCTTGTGAAAAAATCGGCGATTGCCGAGGTTCGAGGTGACGGCGCGTATTTAACGATCTGTTTGCCAGGATCGCTTATTTCACGGCTACTTTCCAGTACGTACGTACGGATTAGATGGTGCATAACGATTTTTCCAAATGGTGCATTCAGTGAAGGATAGTGTGCTGTAATGTATGATATGCGTGTACGAGACAATGATGTAGGGCTTTTCATTGAATTCAGAACACATGGTCTAGTCGATAGAGAATTTATTCAACATAACGATTTTTATTTTTCTTCCCTCTCATCGCGTGGCACTTGCTGTTCTATTTTGATTATTCTCATATTGTCATACAAGAAAGTTTACACTATACCATCTACGAGAGAAAAAAATATAAAGTTATCACCATTTCACGACAAATTGACAACTGTACAATCTTACATCTGTAAATTGTTTTTAAATCTAACGCGATCTATTTACACGTATGATTTTCTCGAGTACTTTGGCGTTTATAATTCATCTATTGTGTGTAAGAACTAACTAAATATACGTAAAAATCAAAGGCTACGTTGCAATGCCCCGTTATTAATTTACTTTTTTTTTTATAATTTTTAACAAGTTTTGTGTATTTGTGAAATGAAGTCTTTTTTATTTATTTAGTTTTTATATATATATAAAGTTTATCATGCAAACACACTTGTAAAATTTTTTTATAAGCTATTCAAATGATATTGGTAATTAAGAAATGACAAGACTTAAAAATGGAAAACAAACAAAAACATATTACAATGAGCTATGAAAAAAAATCAATAAAACACTTTAATGATGGTTTTTGGTCGACTCTACATGATATTATTCTGCTATTGCTATTACTCAAGAGTTTGAACCATCGCATTCTTATTACTAATAACATTTACACTTCATTTTCATAATGGTTGCAATTACCATGGCTGCGTAAAAACAATACGCAAAATATCGACTAATAATAAATTAAATCTGAACGATAAAAGGTCCAACAATTATTCAACTTTGAAATCGGCTCACGAAAATGAGCTATAAATGCTTTTTTTATCTATTATTTTAAAAATATCTATCTAATTTATCTTCAAGAGAAAAAATCGAACATCTTCGGCNATAAATCATTTTAAATTACTTTTCTTGTCCACACAAAGAACTTTCAGTCTCAAAGATGATCTATCTTTAATATTAAAATTATCTGATGTATAAGCTAAGCACTCGTCTTAACAATTAATGAAATATAAGTTCAATGTTATTAAATAATGTTTACAAAATGTATAAAACAATATACACAAATTTATTGTTTGTTTTCATCTTGACACCTTGTTTCATTCACCATACTCGTGCTCCGAGCCCTCATCTCCTTCTTCGGCTTCCTCCTCCTCAGCGACCTGATCTTTCCTTCTTCTCGTGTAAGCTCGTTTGCTGGTCACTGGTACTGTATCGGTCTCACCATGCAATAAACTATTTCTGTAGGAAAGCAGTGGCTGCCAGTCTTCGCCTCTCGAGGACGGCATGGCTGCCTGCAGGTGCTTATCCAGGAAGTTCAACACGACTTTTTTATCTTGCTTGAGGAGTTTGTTCGTAAATTCGCTGAGGATCTCGAGGTACGAGAGATTAGGCGGTGGCCCCGTAGGATCGACGTCAACGCCGTCTTGAGCAGTTACGGCAAAAAGAATGCCCTGACGGTGCAGAGCCGTGATCGCCTCGCGATTTTTAACGGCATCCAAACCAAAGGACAGAGCGAAACGCTTGGCCAACTCTTTGATCGACATGAATTCCTCGCTGTTGCGATTGACCTTCTCCTCCTTTCCGGCAACTTCATTGTACAGAATATTCAAACTGGCCTGCATCGTGAGCGCGCAGTTGATCTTGTTGATATCGCGCGCTTTGCCGATCGTCGTCTTGATGATATCCCCGTAGTCGTTGTAGAATTTCACGTGGTGCTTGAAAATTTCAGCTGCTGCCCTCGTGGGGATCGTATTGTAAACTATGAGCTTGCAAAAAGCGGCAAGAAAGTTACGTTTTTTATGCAGCTCCGCGATTCTCGAGTGCTCGTCGTGATCGTTTTCCTCGCCCTCAAAGAATACGTACTGCTGAACGAAACCATTCAGCATGTCCACCATGTTCTGATCAGCTTCGTAAATCAGCTGGTGAATTAGCGGATTTTTGTGGGATGACAGCTGGTTGCAGAACAGAACCAGAAGATCGCAGATCGTATTGTAGGCTTCTTCTTTGAGTAAAACCGAGATTTCATCCTCCGATGTGCTGATAAAGTAACTCATGTAGGCGATAAAGTCGTGCAGTCTGGATTTTAATTTGCGCGTCTCTTCGCCAGCTCTGGTATCGGCGTCAACGTTTTCGATCAAATTGTTCTGTGACCACATAATCGAGAAAGAACATGCGATAATGCAGTACTTAACTGCCTCGTCTGGCAAACGGTAACGCGACTCCTTGATGTCATTGAACAACAAATCAAAAATGTTGGACGTGTTCATGTCGTGGCAGCTGAAGAAAATGGCAACTTTCTTCAGAGACTCCACGACGCTGAAAATATCGTCCTCGTTTGGCAGCTCGCCACCATCTATGACGTACTTAAAGGCACCCATGGCTTCCTTGTACTTGAGAACGATAGAGTCGATAAGATTCAATCTGGCTACATCACACCTTCGGAAAATAGCCGAGCCAGGAACACACATGTATTCTAGAGTTTTGGCAACTGCATCCAGGACATCAGTATTGTGAGTGCGTTCGACAATGTCGTGTATTTTGGTTAAGAGATGATCCAAGTTTTGTTCTTGGCGAGATTTTGTGTAGATGTCTAATTCGAAATACTGAGGTATCGACAACAAATTAGTGAGTTTTTCAGGATCGGCACGGTACTTGTCGAGCAAAATAGGCAAAACTGGGATGAAGTGTTCCGTCAGTTTTTGCTTGTCTTCTTGTACTTGTTTAATTTCTTTGGCTGACAGAATTTTCCTCGTCGGGCCTCTGCCAACCGGAGCTTCACCAGTAGCGGATTGCCTAATGCAACAAACCATGATTTCTATGAGAGAAGTTTCTTGCTGGTTGTCAAGGGGCTCTTCATTGGGTCCTGGCTCTTCTATTAGCAAATCTGTCATGCACTCCCAATCCTTCATCATTGAGTTTGTTTCTATCAAGGAATCCACTAGATAAGCACCATGTTCGTGAAGTTCAGATTCAATGAAGAACAAGACCAAATCTCTGATGAAAGGTGTGTTGGGCAAACGCTTCTTGCCTCTCTTTGTCTTGACTTCAACTTCTTCGATGGACATGAAGAATCTTTCATTAACAAACTCACCAGCTGCTTGAGCCACAGCCCTGTGAGATGAGTACACTAATTCGTAAACATGCTCACAATCCTTGTCAGTGAGAATCTCTCGATGATGTTTGTAGATTGAAATAACCAATTTGACTGCCTGTACTGCAACATCGTACTCCTTATCCAGAGTCATGGCTACAATTCTATCTTTGAATTTACTTGTAAAGAGCTCAAGTTTTGTTTTAAGCTCCTCTGAGGCATAAAGAGGCTGCAGAGCTTGCAAGCACTTTAATCTGACCTCACCTACTTTGTCGTGCAGAGTCCACCCAATGTACTTCAAATAGGAATCGTCAAGGAAGTTTTGGTGAAACTTTTTCATCCAAACTCCAATTTCTGCCATGCAAATGGCACGAATTTCCGGCAGAGTATCCCTGTACCTGTGCACAAAGACCGATTTGAACATGTACGTGAGCATGTTCTTGATTTCATCCATATTTTCCTCAAGCTCTTTCTTCTTGATCATTAATGATTCCAATCTGTCGGCAGCTCTTTTTTCTTTGGCCTTCTGACGTTCAGCTTCGTACTGCCTCTGGGCATTATCTATGTTAATAGACACAGTCAATGCAACATCCACAAGAGCAGTCATTAGTTTCATAGCTGCCAAAGTTGCAGTGTGTCTGAAAGCTCTGACTTGTGAATCGGACAATCCAGTGAGCAGAGAGATTATATGATCCATCAAGAACTGATCGTAAATAATGGAATATTGACACTGGCGTACTAAAATCTGCACAAACTCGCAAAAGTTAGACCGAAACTTTTTGTATTGCTGCCCAGCCATGATCAAAGGATACTCTCCACTTTCCTCGTCGAATTCTTCTGTCATTTTTCTGATGATGTGTACGTGTTCCAAAGACTGCATCTCTGGAGTAATAGTACCCTTGCAACCACTTGCGCTGATGAAAAATTGCATTAGCATGAGTAGCGCGCCTTCCCTGTTGAGCTTGTATTTTTCAATCCACTCGTCGACGATGCCCGAGAGCGAGGAGCGGCTATTTCTTACCGCAAAGTAAAGACTGGCTTCGTCTTCGAGGGCGTGAGTTTGATGTGTTTTTTTGCCGCGTCCTCGGCCACCGGCGCGAGGCTTAATAGGATCCTTTGGTACATGAGGTATAAAGTCCTCGTCGATCTCCTTGTACTTGGGCTGCTGAATCGGGCCACCGCGTAGCCGTGCTCGGGTGTTCCTGGTGATACGCATGTTGCTCAATGAATTCGGGATCTCGTTGTCCAGGGCACCAGAGTCCTGGTACTCGTGAGACGAGTGCGAGCCGAAGGATGTGTCTGGGTTGTCGACTCCATAGTTTTCGTTCGTAGTGATTGCCGTCTCGTACTCCGGAGGCACCGGATCGTCCATCCGTATACGCTTGCCCCCGCGTCGATGCATCATTGCTTAGGTTTTTGATACGTGGATTGTATACAATTGTGCGAGACCTGCTGAGCAGAGTAAATAATTTATTCGACGGTACTTAATGTTTTAAGTACAGAAAATTGTTAACGAACTTACCGTGGAATAAACAAAACTTCAAGGAACACAGTGATTGTTTACATCGTCGCCATTACAATACATCGCATTGTGTTTTTTGCGCTCATTCGACGGATTTCATTGAATTCTGACTATTTATGTTTTATCGTTGGCAGAACTGTTGGCGGGCACACGCGGCGGCCGCGGCGCCAGTGCGGCCAACAGTAAATTTTTTCGGCGTCATTTTCAAACAGACTTGTAGTAGCAGGTTACCATTTAAGGAATAAGAAATGTGCAGTGTTTTTCTGTATTAATTTTCTTGTAATGATTTTTGTTTTTTTAATTTGGAAGATGTACTTACGTTTCTAAATCTTTTATATTTCAATTTTTATTCATACACACCCTATAGTGGTATTAGAAGAACAAAATGTCAAAGGTATTGTACACGATATCAGCTTTTTTGTTCACACTAAATAATATTAAAGGTTAAATAATAATTTTAAAGAATATGAAGTATAGGTTAGTAAAAATTAAAAAAAAATCAAATCTTATTTTGTTAAATAGCAAATTTTCCTTGATATTTACNAACTTTGAAATCGGCTCACGAAAATGAGCTATAAATGCTTTTTTTATCTATTATTTTAAAAATATCTATCTAATTTATCTTCAAGAGAAAAAATCGAACATCTTCGGCGGCAAATCACATAAATCCATTTTGTTTTCCAGTTAGAGAGTACAACGTGTTAGTCCTCAGTCATGAGATCGAGATCACTGGGATTACAAGATATCGAATCAGGCACGATAAGCTCATTGTTCAGTACAACACTATCATCATTGTCCCTCAGCAAAAAATTGTCTATCATCTCATGAACTTCTTCCTCGTGAGCGGCTTCTGGCAACACCTCTTCGATAATTTCCTGTTCATGTGCCTGTCTCATGTGATCCTTCACAGCAAAGGCACGACCATACGAGGCACCACAAATTTCGCAACTAAATTTCAGGTTGTTCTCCTTTTTGTGCGTTTCCATATGCGAGCGCGCAGCATACAGCGAAGCAAACGGTCGAGAACACTCGGTGCAACGAAAAGGCTTTGTATGGCTATTTTTGTGACCTGCTAACTGTACCCTTGTTTTAAAAGTCTTGGGGCAATAAGGACAGGTGTAAGCGCGCTTGTCGCCGTGAGTCAACAAATGGTGATTATATACCGATGAGGCTTTGAAACGTTTGCCACAGTGCTGGCATTGGTAAGGCCGTACTCCCGTGTGCGTTCGCATGTGCAGCGTTAGACAATAAGAGACTCTGAATTTTTTGCCACAAACCTGTCGAGAAAATTTTTTATCAGTGAACTGCAAAAATCTTAAACAGTTGGAAACAATTGATGAAAAATACCTCGCAGACGTGAGGTTTCTCGCCAGTGTGTATCCTCTCGTGCTTAACTTTCTCATGTGGTCTGCTGAATCGACGGCCGCAATGTTGACACATGTACGGCTTCTCCTTAGAGGCCTCAGCATCATCGGCAGCTACTGCGGCTTCGACTACTGCAGCTATGGTTGGACCGCTGACAAGGGGTCCACTGACACCTGCATTCGCAAGAATCGGATCAATGGAATTTTTAGTAGCAGCGTTGAAAAGCTCTGTCGCTATCGTGGTTGTAGAGATTGCCTGAGCAGAAGTGGATTCGACATGTACAGCCGCGTGCATCACTAAACTTTCTGGCGAATCAAACTTGCGATTGCATATGGTACATGTAACCGAAATACCATCGTGCAAGGCCATATGAGCTGTTCTGTAAGATACAGAGAGCGTCGCATCTGAAAAATAACCCACATGTTAGAACTTGAATAGCTTGTAAATGTAAAAATATGGATTTTAACAGATGGACCCAATCTTACCGCACTCATCGCATTTGAATGTATCCTCGTCTGTGCCTTCAGGTGCGTCAACGTGACGTGATTTGACGGGATCGTGCATTCGTGAATGTAATCTAAGACTCTTATGTGTGGTAAATTCGGTACCACAAATATTACACACAAAATTCATCTGAGAGTTCTGAGCAATGTCATTGTTGTCGTGCGTTTGAAGATGATTAAGCAACGCCTTTTGAGTAGCGAAAGTTTGGTCACAATGATCGCATTGATTTGTTCCTCGTAAACATATGTGAATTCGAAAATCGCTTAATTTTCGAAACTGCTCCAAACACTGGTTGCATCTGTACATTTTCGTGGGAGCAACCATCACGCTTTTGTCTTTTACCTAAAGTTTAATCAAACGAATCATGATACTTGAAACAGCTATTTAAACAATTTCATTAACAAAACTTTTACCTTGACGCCTTCAACGTTGGAAAAAAATTTTTCAATCATGGGAGCTTTAGTTGTGGACAAAGTAATAGGTGTCCTGTCCCAAAATCTTTCAATTTTGACAACTTTTCTCGTATATCGTCTCCCATCTTTATCAATGCATTCTTCAGTTTTTAAAGTGTTTAAAGGTTGTTTTTGTGCCAGCTTTCTTTTGGCAGCTCTCGATGGTCTACTGGTAGCAATAGAAGATATAACAGGTGTATTTACAGTAGAAGTGACATTATCAGCTATTGTTGTGGTAGGTAGTATTATTTCATCTTGATCAGGTTTTACTTCTTCGTACTTTTGACCACCATGATATTTGTCCATATGATCCTCTGGGTCATAAAAACTCATACCACAGGTGTTGCAAATAAATAGTTTTTGCGGTTCCTATAAATTATAATTAAATAAAAATTTTAGTTATCAAATTTGTTAAACGGAAGAAAAAGAGATTTGTTTACTGAATCCTGTGATGTTCGGCTAAGTTCTTCTTTTACATCTGATAAACTGGAGCCTCCAAATTGCAATTGTATTTCACTATTTTCAGTAATATCTATGAGTGTACCATCATTTTCATTTAATAAATAAGAACTCGACTCATTCGATGAAATTCCGTCGTTGGAACTTACAACCTGTGACGTATTATTGGATTCAAAAATTTTTTTTTCTTTGGCCCTATTATTTTCATTTTCCTCACTTTTTATATTTTTTTCGTTTACCTTGTCCACCACTTGTATATCCCCTGAAAAAATTAATTGTTTATCAGCTAATTTTAATATAACTAATATTCATAAAAGTTACAATTATTAACCGTTTTCATCAACATGAATAGTCTTTCCCTCCACCATCATGAATCCTTCTGCATCAACAGTAGCTAAAAAACTTTCGTTAACTGCATCATTTTTTAAACTCTGAAACATCAACGGACAACGTTTAGAAATCTTCAAAATTTTCATACGTACTTTTAATCAATAAACAACCCAATACTCACATTGTCTAAGGTGGTACCCTGTGCTGCATTGTCATCGTTGTTGCGCTCCAAACCATTGGCATCCGGTTCTTTTGACTGCTGTTGCTCTTCTTGTTGTTGCTGTTGCTGCAGCAACTCTGCCACTTCTACTTCTTCTTTTCCACAAACATCCAGATGTTGAATCAGGGCAGTGATGGAGTCAATCCTCAACGAACAACCGGGACAGTACAGGTTGTCCGTCACGCTAAGTAGATGGTATTTAAGGGACTCTGAATTGTCAAAGGTCTCCCCACAGCACATAGGACATATTAGACTTAAGGACCCCATGATAGCTCAACCACTTTAGCAAAGCTCCAAAAAACAACAACACCCGATCATCATCCCCCAGTGTATCCGACAGAGACTCCCCCCGACGTCACCCGGAACTTGTGTTATACTTTTCATGTCAGCAGTCTAACCTGATGCAAGGAATCCATGGTCCGGGACTCAAGCTGTCAGTACGCCTCATCGTCGCCCGGGAAGCACTTATAACCTTTACGTCGAGGTATACGCAAGCAAATCCGGATCAAGATACCTATACGTTGTATTTTATCAGGATTT